GTGAGGGTGGGGTGAGGTATGTGATTGTGGGGAGAGGTAGGTGAGGGTTTGATGAGGTAGGTGAGGGTGGGGTGAGGTAGGTGAGGGTGGGGTGAGGTAGGTGAGGGTGGGGAGAGGTAGGTGAGGGTGGGGTGAGGTATGTGAGGGTGGGGAGAAGTATGTGAAGGTGGGGTGAGGTAGGTGATTGTGGGGAGAGGTAGGTGAGGGTGGGGTGAGGTATGTGAGGGTGGGGTGGGGTAAGTGAGGTGGGGCAGGTGAGGTGGGGCAGATGCGTTTGGAGGTTGGTTGATGGTATTTGGCATGGTTGGTGAGGAGCAGTAGTTACCATCACCCACACCCCAAACCATCCTCACATACCACACCTCTACCACCCTACCCAAAAAAAATAAAATGTCAAAAAAAAAATTAAATTAAAAAAATTAGAACAAAAATTCTTTTTTACTATCCCGGTCTTTCCAGATTGATCCACCATCAAAATCGTCACATTATTTTCAGCCTGAACAATCCTGTATGTCATGCTCGGTCGTTAACCATTGAGTCCTTCGGTTTTCACTCACGTTCACAAAATAGTATTGAATTTTTAAGACTGTTTGAGATATCGTTACTTATAACACACATGTGGATAATAATCATGTATATTATAGCTGCATTACAAGAACATCAATTAATTATATCAGTTTTATATTAAACAATTACATTTAGCTCCAGTGATTTGCTTAAATCATGTCCCGTGAACTAGGCCTACTGGTGTTTACCTGATAAAAAATTGTTTTGTTCCCCCGAAATTTTGGTATAGTTTAATTCACTAACTTAATATTGTGTCATCCAAAATGAATACTTGAAACACCTTCCTGAACATGTTAATTGGTAAATTACATCCTTCTAGGTAAATTACATCCTTCTAGGCCCGTGAAGATCCAGGGTAGAATAGGTCTTCAGCAACCCATGCTTGCTGTAAAAGACGACTATGCTTGTTGTAAGATGCTACTTAATCAACGGGATCGGTTGGTCAGGCTTGCTGACTTGGTTGATGCATGTCATTGATCCCAATTGTATGGATCAATGCTCATGATATTAATCACTGGATTATCTGGTTGAGACTCGATTATTTACAGACCGCCGTCATATAGCTGGAATATTGCTGAGTGCGGCGTTAAACAACAAACCAACCAATCAACCAACATCCTTCTAAATTTGTGTCACTTCCTATTTGTGGTCTTTAATCTCATTCTTCACACTCAGATCATTGGCTCCATCAGTATTTCCCGTAATGATATTGACAAAATAATGTTACAAGGTATGTTATTTCTAAACCAATTAGCGATGACGTTACAGACAAGAATTTTAGAAGTGAAATGTGATCGGATATATGCTTGACAATGGGGCTTTGGGACGCGACAGAAACGTGACACAAAATAACAATAAGTTATACACACACACACACACACACACACACACACACACACACACACACACACACACACACACACACACACACACACACACACACACACACACTGAAATATTGCTCAAAGTTGCGTAAAACCATTTATTTTTTTTTTATCAGGGTAGGCAGGATGAGACAATTCCCTGATGTCATCCATTGATAGGTCATCGCTATGCAATGTCATCACTGGAATGTCATGTCACATTTTGTAAATGTCTGCCTCCAATGAAAAAATCTGCAAAAGCTATGACACCTGCCTTATCATGCTTATCAGGTCTGACACCAGTAAAATTCCAGAATTGTGACAAGTGACATTTCTTTTGAACATATTGCCTTCTGGTGGCATCCCAGTACCATTTCAGCTGACTCACGACAGTGAGAAGGAATTTCTCCTGCCAGAATACTGGAAACTAAATATAAGTATTTTTTCCTGTTCATAGGTTGTCCTTTATGATGTGTGTCATGTCACTCAGTAGAAGTTTTTAACCTTCAGTATCCATGTAAACATAAAAACTCCATTTTGCATCTATTAGAGGAATCGACTTTCTTAGTAAGAGGTGGACGACATGTTGCAAATCCTCTCGGTCTAGACCTGCTAATGGACTGACTGGGCATCGGGTGACGACATGGGCATGTTTTGTTAAAACCTGAATGGAATATTGATGTAATTGGAGCCTTGACCTCAGACCCTATGACAGCTCTTTCTGTTTCCTGTACATGGACCCTGGTATAAATTATCAAAAAAAGACTTTGGGTAACTGTCGTTAGCAAAACCTAACTTTAGATATCCCAGATATCAGAAGCCTTTGGCTCATAGATTCAGTCAGCTGGGACCAAAGGTGTGCAATGACGGGTGCTTGATGACAGGTGTGCAATGACGGGTGCTTGATGACAGGTGTGCAATGACGGGTGCATGATGATAGGTGTGTGATGATAGGTGCATGGTGACAGGTGCATGATGACAGGTGCATGGTGACAGGTGCATGGTAACAGGTGTGTGATGACAGGTGCTTGGTGACAGGTGCATGGTAACAGGTGTGTGATGATAGGTGCATGGTGACAGGTGCATGATGACAGGTGCATGGTGACAGGTGCATGATGACAGGTGCATGATGACAGGTGCTTGGTGACAGGTGCATGGTAACAGGTGTGTGATGACAGGTGCTTGGTGACAGGTGCATGGTAACAGGCGTGTGATGATAGGTGCATGGTGACAGGTGCATGATGACAGGTGCATAGTGACAGGTGCATGATGACAGGTGCATGATGACAGGTGCTTGGTGACAGGTGCATGGTAACAGGTGTGTGATGACAGGTGCTTGGTGACAGGTGCATGGTAACAGGTGTGTGATGATAGGTGCATGGTGACAGGTGCATGATGACAGGTGCATGGTGACAGGTGCATGGTGACAGGTGCGTGATGACAGGTGCATGGTGACAGGTGCATGGTGACCGGTGCATGGTGACAGGTGCATGGTGACAGGTGCGTGATGACAGGTGCATGGTGACAGGTGTGTGGTGACAGGTGTGTGGTGACAGGTGTGTGGTGACAGGTGTGTGGTGACAGGTGCATGATGACAGGTGCGTGATGAGAGGTGCATGGTGACTGGTGCATGATGACAGGTGCGTGATGAGAGGTGCGTGATGAGAGGTGCATCATCACAGATGCATAGTGACAGGTGTGTGATGACAGGTGCATGATGACAGGTGCATGGTGACGGGTGCATGGTGACGGAAGCATGGTGACGGGTGCATGATGACAGGTGCATGATGACAGGTGTGTGGTGACAGGTGCATGGTGACAGGTGCGTGATGCCAGGTGTGTGGTGACATTTGTGTGGTGACAGGTGCTTGATGACAGGTGCTTGATGACAGGTGCGTGATGACAGGTGCTTGATGACAGATGTGGGATGATAGTTGTGTTGTGACAGGTGCTTTGTGACAGATATGTGATGACAGGTGCATGGTGACAGGTGCTTGATGACAGGTGATTGATGACAGGTGCTTGATGACAGATGTGTGATGACAGATGTGTGATGACAGTTGTGTTGTGACAGGTGAATGGTGACAGATGTGTGATGACAGGTGCATGGTGACAGGTGCTTGATGACAGGTGCGTGATGACAGGTGCTTGATGTCAGGTGCGTGATGACAGGTGCTTGATGACAGGTGCTTGGTGAAAGATGTTTGATGACAGTTGTGTGATGATAGGTGCATGGTGAATGTAATATCGATGTAATTGAGCGCTTGACTGCTGACCCCTATGCCAACACAAAGTTTGGGTAGGCATGGACCATGTTATAAATTATAAAAATATGACTGATTTCTACTAGATATGGAAAGGGTTTTGTCACTTTTTTAAGGTAACTGTCATGTTGATTACAGGTGAGAGATGATAAGTGAGCGATGACAAGTGATACAATATATACTGTAATGGATCTAGTAGTGACGCTTTATACTGTAACGGATCTAGTAGTGACGCTTTATACTGTAACGGATCTAGTAGTGACGCTTTGTACTGTAACGGATCTAGTAGTGACGCTTTGTACTGTAACGGATCTAGTAGTGACGCTTTATAGTGTAACAGATCTAGTAGTGACGCTTAATACTGTAACAGATCTAGTAGTGACGCTTTATACTGTAACGGATCTAGTAGTGATGCTTTATACTGTAACAGATCTAGTAGTAACGCTTTACACTGTAACAGTGAAGATATGTTAGACAGTTACAGTAAAGATGTCACCACTAGATCTGTTGCCATGGTTGCTGTATGATGTGTCACTACTACTACTGTTACCATGGATTCAGTATAAAACGTCATCACAAGAACTGTGGGCTTTGGCAGGTTTTCGTGTAAAGGAGATGCGAAATTCTTAATAATACTCAAACTGCTTGGGGATAACCCCGACAGTCAAGTAAGTGTGCCACTACAGGAAGCTGGTCAAGTTCTTGTGACATTTCACTGAGTCAATATGTACTAAGGTGTTAGGTCCTCCTACCGAGCCATTCAGCATGATACCTGTAAAGATCGAGGTTAGAATTGGTCTTCAGTAACATATGCTTGGTGGTCAGGCTCGCTGGCTTGGTGATGCATGTCATCGTATCCCAAATGCATGGATCGATGCTCATGACATTAATCACTGGATTGTGTTGACCAAACAAACAAACATTCGGCACGAAGATAACAAGATGAATGTTTCCTGAATGTTTCCTTATTAGTTACATCCTGTAACTACATCCTGTAACTAATAATACTCCCAATGATCCATATTGTGAGCAGTGTTCCACGCCATAGTGGTACATTGACATGCCACGCCACTTAGAGAATGAATGAACATGATTCTGAAAAAACACTTTTCTTTTCAGTTCCAGGGTGGTCGGGTAGCCTAGTGGTTAAAGCGTTCGCTCCTCACGCAGAAGACCCGGGTTCGATTCCCGACATGGGTACAATGTGTGAAGCCCATTTCTGGTGTCCCCCACCGTGATATTGCTGGAATATTGCTAAAAGCGGCATAAAACCATACTCACTCACTCACTCACTCACTCTTTTCAGTTCCTTCGAGATGAGCTGCAGTACACTGATGGGTTTGAACGCCAGAAGACATTCCATGGCAACGACAAGCTGATCAGTGTCGAGGATCTGTGGCGAGGGTGGAAGGGATCAGAAGGTGAGTGGAGGTGGTTGTAGTTGAAGACGTTCCATGGCAACGACAAGCTGATCTAGTTTGTCCATCCGTCAAATATTTTCAAAAACTAAGTTAGAGAAATGAAATTTTACACACTAATCCTACTGGTGGTAATTTTAATAGAGTTAAAGAAATTGTGTCTTAAATTATTTTTTTTACAGAGTTCAAAAATTGGTGCCGTTAATTTTGTTTTTCCAGAGTTACATCATTGATACATGTTTTTTGATTCTGTGCATACAAAGTTACGGTCATGTAATTTTTCTCTATTAAGGGGCTTGAGTCTGCAATGGGGAAAGTAAAATCAGATTTTCTCCTGACATAAAGCCACCGCAGTGCCTATCTCTTTAGGATATGTAGACTCTTTTCTCATTGTTAACATTAACCTCCATGTTATTCACTACTCTATGAATAAACAAAATTCTAATGTGCCTCATGGCTGGGGATAGTGATAACGCTGTTTTCTTTTTCAGTCTACAACTGGACCAACGACGATGTCCTGGAGTGGCTGGAATGCCATGTGGAGTTGCCGCAGTACATCGAGATCTTCCACACCAAGCTGGTCGATGGCACCAGTCTCCCAAGGTACAGCAGCCTTTCCAGAGTTACTTCCCCTTGAAAGGGGTTTGGATCTTTCATTCTTTCTTAATGAGTATAATTTGTGAAACCCACTCACTCATAACCCATTCACACACTTTAAATTCACTCTACTGTAGTAATAGCTAAATCACTGACTTTCTGACTTAGATATTTAACCCTATTCAACCCCACCCCACCCATCTTCCCGAGGCAAGAGGGTTTACTGACTTTAAAAGTCCAGTTTCCACCCTTGCCGAACTTGGCTGGAATTTCTGGGCTCGACCATAGCACCACCAGTGGTTATTAAGAGTTTTGTCCCTTCTAAGCCTCTCCTTTGGACGAATCAGATTCCACCTCTTGTATCACTTGCATTTGTTTCAAACAAAATGGCAGCGCCCAGTCAAGACAATCTGATCATTAATCAAGATCTATGTTGTGATAAAACAGGTCTTACACAGCGAAGTACATCAAATCACATGAGCACCTTGATTAAAATTAAGTTTATTTTAGAGCACCTTCTGTATGTAGTTTTTTCAGACTGGCTAACAACACCCATATAAAATTGTTGTTTCAGACTGGCTAACAACACCCATATAAAATTGTTGTTTCAGACTGGCTAACAACACCTATATAAAATTGTTGTTTCAGACTGGCTAACAACACCCATATAAAATTGTTGTTTCAGACTGGCTAACAACACCCATATAAAATTGTTGTTTCAGACTGGCTAACAACACCTATATAAAATTGTTGTTTCAGACTGGCTAACAACACCTATATAAAATTGTTGTTTCAGACTGGCTAACAACACCTATATAAAATTGTTGTTTCAGACTGGCTAACAACACCTATATAAAATTGTTGTTCCAGACTGGCTAACAACACCCATATAAAATTGTTGTTTCAGACTGGCTAACAACACCTATATAAAATTAATGTTTCAGACTGGCTAACAACACCTATATAACATTGTTGTTTCAGACTGGCTAACAACACCTATATAAAATTGTTGTTTCAGACTGGCTAACAACACCTATATAAAATTGTTGTTTCAGACTGGCTAACAACACCTATATAAAATTGTTGTTTCAGACTGGCTAACAACACCTATATAAAATTGTTGTTTCAGACTGGCTAACAACACCTATATAAAATTGTTGTTTCAGACTGGCTAACAACACCCATATAAAATTGTTGTTTCTGACTGGCTAACAACACCTATATAAAATTGTTGTTTCTGACTGGCTAACAACACCTATATAAAATTGTTGTTTCAGACTGGCTAACAACACCTATATAAAATTGTTGTTTCAGACTGGCTAACAACACCCATATAAAATTGTTGTTTCAGACTGGCTAACAACACCTTTATAAAATTGTTGTTTCAGACTGGCTAACAACACCTATATAAAATTGTTGTTTCAGACTGGCTAACAACACCTATATAAAATTGTTGTTTCAGACTGGCTAACAACACCTATATAAAATTGTTGTTTCAGACTGGCTAACAACACCTATATAAAATTGTTGTTTCAGACTGGCTAACAACACCTATATAAAATTGTTGTTTCAGACTGGCTAACAACACCCATATAAAATTGTTGTTTCAGACTGGCTAACAACACCTATATAAAATTGTTGTTTAAGACTGGATAACAACACCTATATAAAATTGTTGTTTCAGACTGGCTAACAACACCCATATAAAATTGTTGTTTCAGACTGGCTAACAACACCTATAGAAAAATTGTTGTTTCAGACTGGCTAACAACACCTATATAAAATTGTTGTTTCAGACTGGCTAACAACACCTATATAAAATTGTTGTTTCAGACTGGCTAACAACACCTTTATAAAATTGTTGTTTCAGACTGGCTAACAACACCTATATAAAATTGTTGTTTCAGACTGGCTAACAACACCTATATAAAATTGTTGTTTCAGACTGGCTAACAACACCCATATAAAATTGTTGTTTCAGACTGGCTAACAACACCCATATAAAATTGTTGTTTCAGACTGGCTAACAACACCTATATAAAATTGTTGTTTCAGACTGGCTAACAACACCTATATAAAATTGTTGTTTCAGACTGGCTAACAACACCTATATAAAATTGTTGTTTCAGACTGGCTAACAACACCTATATAAAATTGTTGTTTCAGACTGGCTAACAACACCTATATAACATTGTTGTTTCAGACTGGCTAACAACACCTATATAAAATTGTTGTTTCAGACTGGCTAACAACACCTATATAAAATTGTTGTTTCAGACTGGCTAACAACACCTATATAAAATTGTTGTTTCAGACTGGCTAACAACACCCATATAAAATTGTTGTTTCAGACTGGCTAACAACACCTATATAAAATTGTTGTTTCTGACTGGCTAACAACACCTATATAAAATTGTTGTTTCAGACTGGCTAACAACACCTATATAAAATTGTTGTTTCAGACTGGCTAACAACACCTATATAAAATTGTTGTTTCAGACTGGCTAACAACACCTTTATAAAATTGTTGTTTCAGACTGGCTAACAACACCTATATAAAATTGTTGTTTCAGACTGGCTAACAACACCTATATAAAATTGTTGTTTCAGACTGGCTAACAACACCTATATAAAATTGTTGTTTCAGACTGGCTAACAACACCTATATAAAATTGTTGTTTCAGACTGGCTAACAACACCTATATAAAATTGTTGTTTCAGACTGGCTAACAACACCTATATAAAATTGTTGTTTCAGACTGGCTAACAACACCCATATAAAATTGTTGTTTCAGACTGGCTAACAACACCTATATAAAATTGTTGTTTCAGACTGGCTAACAACACCTATATAAAATTGTTGTTTCAGACTGGCTAACAACACCCATATAAAATTGTTGTTTCAGACTGGCTAACAACACCTATATAAAATTGTTGTTTCAGACTGGCTAACAACACCTATATAAAATTGTTGTTTCAGACTGGCTAACAACACCTATATAAAATTGTTGTTTCAGACTGGCTAACAACACCTATATAAAATTGTTGTTTCAGACTGGCTAACAACACCTTTATAAAATTGTTGTTTCAGACTGGCTAACAACACCCATATAAAATTGTTGTTTCAGACTGGCTAACAACACCTTTATAAAATTGTTGTTTCAGACTGGCTAACAACACCTATATAAAATTGTTGTTTCAGACTGGCTAACAACACCTATATAAAATTGTTGTTTCAGACTGGCTAACAACACCTATATAAAATTGTTGTTTCAGACTGGCTAACAACACCTATATAAAATTGTTGTTTCAGACTGGCTAACAACACCTATATAAAATTGTTGTTTCAGACTGGCTAACAACACCCATATAAAATTGTTGTTTCAGACTGGCTAACAACACCTATATAAAATTGTTGTTTAAGACTGGATAACAACACCTATATAAAATTGTTGTTTCAGACTGGCTAACAACACCCATATAAAATTGTTGTTTCAGACTGGCTAACAACACCTATAGAAAAATTGTTGTTTCAGACTGGCTAACAACACCTATATAAAATTGTTGTTTCAGACTGGCTAACAACACCTATATAAAATTGTTGTTTCAGACTGGCTAACAACACCTTTATAAAATTGTTGTTTCAGACTGGCTAACAACACCTATATAAAATTGTTGTTTCAGACTGGCTAACAACACCTATATAAAATTGTTGTTTCAGACTGGCTAACAACACCCATATAAAATTGTTGTTTCAGACTGGCTAACAACACCCATATAAAATTGTTGTTTCAGACTGGCTAACAACACCTATATAAAATTGTTGTTTCAGACTGGCTAACAACACCTATATAAAATTGTTGTTTCAGACTGGCTAACAACACCTATATAAAATTGTTGTTTCAGACTGGCTAACAACACCTATATAAAATTGTTGTTTCAGACTGGCTAACAACACCTATATAACATTGTTGTTTCAGACTGGCTAACAACACCTATATAAAATTGTTGTTTCAGACTGGCTAACAACACCTATATAAAATTGTTGTTTCAGACTGGCTAACAACACCTATATAAAATTGTTGTTTCAGACTGGCTAACAACACCCATATAAAATTGTTGTTTCAGACTGGCTAACAACACCTATATAAAATTGTTGTTTCTGACTGGCTAACAACACCTATATAAAATTGTTGTTTCAGACTGGCTAACAACACCTATATAAAATTGTTGTTTCAGACTGGCTAACAACACCTATATAAAATTGTTGTTTCAGACTGGCTAACAACACCTTTATAAAATTGTTGTTTCAGACTGGCTAACAACACCTATATAAAATTGTTGTTTCAGACTGGCTAACAACACCTATATAAAATTGTTGTTTCAGACTGGCTAACAACACCTATATAAAATTGTTGTTTCAGACTGGCTAACAACACCTATATAAAATTGTTGTTTCAGACTGGCTAACAACACCTATATAAAATTGTTGTTTCAGACTGGCTAACAACACCTATATAAAATTGTTGTTTCAGACTGGCTAACAACACCCATATAAAATTGTTGTTTCAGACTGGCTAACAACACCTATATAAAATTGTTGTTTCAGACTGGCTAACAACACCTATATAAAATTGTTGTTTCAGACTGGCTAACAACACCCATATAAAATTGTTGTTTCAGACTGGCTAACAACACCTATATAAAATTGTTGTTTCAGACTGGCTAACAACACCTATATAAAATTGTTGTTTCAGACTGGCTAACAACACCTATATAAAATTGTTGTTTCAGACTGGCTAACAACACCTTTATAAAATTGTTGTTTCAGACTGGCTAACAACACCTATATAAAATTGTTGTTTCAGACTGGCTAACAACACCTATATAAAATTGTTGTTTCAGACTGGCTAACAACACCCATATAAAATTGTTGTTTCAGACTGGCTAACAACACCCATATAAAATTGTTGTTTCAGACTGGCTAACAACACCTATATAAAATTGTTGTTTCAGACTGGCTAACAACACCTATATAAAATTGTTGTTTCAGACTGGCTAACAACACCTATATAAAATTGTTGTTTCAGACTGGCTAACAACACCTATATAAAATTGTTGTTTCAGACTGGCTAACAACACCTATATAAAATTGTTGTTTCAGACTGGCTAACAACACCTATATAAAATTGTTGTTTCAGACTGGCTAACAACACCTATATAAAATTGTTGTTTCTGACTGGCTAACAACACCCATATAAAATTGTTGTTTCAGACTGGCTAACAACACCTATATAAAATTGTTGTTTCAGACTGGCTAACAACACCTATATAAAATTGTTGTTTCAGACTGGCTAACAACACCCATATAAAATTGTTGTTTCAGACTGGCTAACAACACCTATATAAAATTGTTGTTTCAGACTGGCTAACAACACCTATATAAAATTGTTGTTTCAGACTGGCTAACAACACCTATATAAAATTGTTGTTTCAGACTGGCTAACAACACCTTTATAAAATTGTTGTTTCAGACTGGCTAACAACACCTATATAAAATTGTTGTTTCAGACTGGCTAACAACACCTATATAAAATTGTTGTTTCAGACTGGCTAACAACACCCATATAAAATTGTTGTTTCAGACTGGCTAACAACACCCATATAAAATTGTTGTTTCAGACTGGCTAACAACACCTATATAAAATTGTTGTTTCAGACTGGCTAACAACACCTATATAAAATTGTTGTTTCAGACTGGCTAACAACACCTATATAAAATTGTTGTTTCAGACTGGCTAACAACACCTATATAAAATTGTTGTTTCAGACTGGCTAACAACACCCATATAAAATTGTTGTTTCAGACTGGCTAACAACACCCATATAAAATTGTTGTTTCAGACTGGCTTACAGCAACAGCAACTTCTATACAACAACCCTGGGAATCAAGAATGCTGTTCATAAACAGAAGATGTCGGTGAAGGCAATGGATGCTGTGCTGTTCGGAGCACCAAAGAGTATGTACTGTTACCATCCAGCAGACTATTGTTATCACGATGTCCTCCTACCCCCCCACCATCCTCGTATGTCCCTGAATGGATGTGAGGGAGGAGATCTGTCCAGGTTCCCTGGCTTCCATTGTGAAACTGAATTAATTAATTAGTGGTTGTTTCATGCTCGAAGTAATAATCCCAAAGTTCATGTCAAGATGACATTGTTGCAGTTGTGCAGCTTTTATGCATCCGTTACTGACTTTGATAATAGAATATACTTCATGGTATGTATACAGTGGTTACCATGGTAACACATACTTTATACTGTTACAAAGGTCTGACAGTTTGGTATTACATGGTGTTTCTATGAATGTGACTGTTTTTGGCATCACTTGCATTGGAAACAGAACACTGCTGTCAAACTATGTTACAGCATAGATCAAAGCTAGGTTCCTCTGAGATGTGCCAGTGAGACGTCTGATAGACACCTAGAGCAGACATTATCCAGACACCAGCCACACACCTAGAACAGACACCTAATACAGACACCGGCCAGACACCTAGACACCTAGAACAGACATCATTGAGACATCCGCCACACACCTAATACAGACACCAGCCACACACCTAGACACCTAGAACAGACATCATTGAGACATCCGCCACACACCTAATACAGACACCGGCCACACACCTAGACACCTAGAACAGACATCATTGAGACATCCGCCACACACCTAATACAGACACCGGCCACACACCTAATACAGACACCGGCCACACACCTAATACAGACACCGGCCACACACCTAATACAGACACCGGCCAGACACCTAGAACAGACATCATTGAGACATCCGCCAGACACCGGCCAGACATCTAGACACCTAGAACAGACATCATTGAGACATCCGCCAGACACCTAGACACCTAGAACAGACATCATTGAGACATCCGACATATACACACTAGTCTGACACCTAATACAGATAAAGCTGAACACCTGATAGACACCTAGCACAGCTAACTGTTTTCGTCCACGAGTCCTTATAATGATAACACACAGCAAAACCCTTGAAAATGGCAAATTTCTACTAGTCCTTATGATACCTTAACTATTGGGCAGTGTGGCAAGGACTTAAGTCTAGTGCCAATTTCTAATGCTGCAAGGCATGGCTTTGTTTTATTGGGACTCTGGAGCCATTGCCATGACGATGCATATCCCCTGTGTGTTATTATTATTAAACGGGGCACAGGTTGCCCAGTCGTCTAAGGCGGCGCGATTCACTGTGCAGAGTTGCATCCCTTGGGCACGCCAGACACCTATGTTTGTGGTTTCGAATCGTGGTTCGCCCGATTATGTTTCTAGGTTTTGTTGGCACCATACCCGTGCTTGTGGGTTTCACCAAAGTGGTGAACGTCTGAGACCTGCATCACCTCAGGCTTTCCACCCACATTAAGCTGACACCACGCGATATAACTGTAATACTGTTCAAAGCGGCGTTAAACCCAACTCACCCACTCGCTATTATTATTAAATATATTTTATTGTCCAAAAAGACAAAGGGATTGGGCACAAGTGCACCAATTTTGACCACCTTCTCCTGTGTGTTACAGAGGCCCACAGCTATATGAAGGACATCGCTCTGGTAGCATCGCTGATCATTGCACTTGGGGGATGCTGGTTTGCCTACATCCATCATCACTACTCCCAGAACCATGTGAAGAAGATGATGAAGGACCTGGAGTGTTTGCAGAAAGCTGAGGAGGCCCTACAGGAACTGCAGGAAAAGTGAGGCATTGTGGGACAGGAAGTGGATGGGGGGCATTGTGGGACAGGAAGTGAAGCGCAATATAGGGCATGAAGTGAGGGCATGGTGGGACAGGAAGTGCTAGGCAATATAGGGCATTGTGGGACAGGAAATGAAGGGCAATTTTGGGCATGAAGTTAGAGCATTGTGATGCAGGGGCAGTGTCAGATACTAAGTGACGCATTGTGAGACATAACGTTAGGGGGCATTATTTGACAGGAAGTGAGTCATTGTGGGATAGGAAGTGAAGGGCAATATGGTACAGGAAGTGAGGGACAGTATGGGACAGGAAGTAAGGGACAGTATGGGACAGGAAGTGAAGGGAAATATGGGACATGAAGTAAGGGACAGTAGGGGACAGGAGGTAAGGGACAATATGGGACAGGAAGTGAGGGACAGTATGGGACAGGAAGTGAGGGACAGTATGGACAGGAAGTGAGGGACAGGAAGTGAGGGACAGGAAGTGAGGGACAGTATGGGACAGGAAGTTGAGGACAGTATGGGACAGGAAGTGAGGGACAGTATAGGACAGGAAGTAAGGGACAGTATGGGACAGGAAGTGAAGGGAAATATGGGACATGAAGTAGGGGACAGGAGGTAAGGGACAATATGGGACAGGAAGTGAGGGACAGTATCGGACAGGAAGTGAGGGACAGTATGGACAGGAAGTGAGGGACAGTATGGGACAGGAAGTGAGGTACAGTATGGGACAGGAAGTTGAGGACAGTATGGGACAGGAAGTGAGGGACAGTATGGGACAGGAGGTGAAGGACAGTATAGGACAGGAGGTGAGGGAAATATGGGACAAGAAGTTGAGGACAGTATGGGACAGGAAGTGAGGGACAGCATCGGACAGGAGGTGAGGGACAGGAAGTGAGAGACAGTATGGGACAGGAAGTGAGGGACAGTATGGGACAGGAAGTGAGGGACAGTATGGGACAGGAAGTGAGGGACAGTATGGGACATGAAGTGAGGGACAGTATGGGACAGGAAGTGAGGGACAGTATGGGACAGGAAGTGAGGGACAGTATGGGACAGGAAGTGAGGGACAGTATGGGACAGGAAGTAAGGGACAGTTTGGGACAGGAACTGAAGGGACAGTAGGGGACAGTAAGTGAGGGGACAGTAGGGGACAGGAAGTGAGGGACAGTATGGGACAGGAAGTGAGGGACAGCATCGGACAGGAGGTGAGGGACAGGAAGTGAGAGACAGTATGGGACAGGAAGTGAGGGACAGTATGGGACAGGAAGTGAGGGACAGTATGGGACAGGAAGTTGAGGACAGTATGGGACAGGAAGTGAGGGACAGTATGGGACAGGAGGTGAAGGACAGTATAGGACAGGAGGTGAGGGACAGTATGGGACAAGAAGTTGAGGACAGTATGGGACAGGAAGTGAGGGACAGCATCGCACAGGAGGTGAGGGACAGGAAGTGAGAGACAGTATGGGACAGGAAGTGAGGGACAGTATGGGACAGGAAGTGAGGGACAGTATGGGACAGGAAGTGAGAGACAGTAGGGGACAGGAAGTAAGGGCCAATATGGGACAGGAAGTGAGGGACAGCATCGGACAGGAGGTGAGGGACAGGAAGTGAGAGACAGTATGGGACAGGAAGTGAGGGACAGTATGGGACAGGAAGTGAGGGGACAGTAAGTGAGGGACAGTAGGGGACAGGAAGTGAGAGACAGTAGGGGACAGGAAGTGAGGGACAGTATGGGACAGGAAGTGAGGGACAGTATGGGACAGGAAGTGAGGGGACAGTAGGGGACAGGAAGTGAGAGACAGTATGGGACAGGAAGTGAGGGACAGTATGGGACAGGAAGTGAGGGACAGTATGGGACATGAAGTGAGGGACAGTATGGGACAGGAAGTAAGGGACAGTTTGGGACAGGAAGTAAGGGCCAATATAGGACAGGAAGTGAAGGACAGTATGGGACAGGAAGTGAGGGACAGTAGGGGACAGGAAGTGAGGGGACAGTAGGGGACAGGAAGTGAGAGACAGTATGGGACAGGAAGTGAGGGACAGTATGGGACAGGAAGTGAGGGACAGTATGGGACATGAAGTGAGGGACAGTAGGGGACAGGAAGTGAGGGACAGTATGGGACAGGAAGTGAGGGACAGTATGGGACATGAAGTGAGGGACAGTATGGGACAGGAAGTGAGGGACAGTATGGGACATGAAGTGAGGGACAGTATGGGACAGGAAGTAAGGGACAGTTTGGGACAGGAAGTAAGGGCCAATATAGGACAGGAAGTGAAGGACAGTATGGGTCAGGAAGTGAGGGACAGTATGGGACAGGAAGTGAGGGACAGTATGGGACAGGAAGTGAGGGACAGTATGGGACAGGAAGTGAGGGACAGTATGGGACAGGAAGTAAGGGACAATATGGGGCAGGAAGTAAGGGACAGTATGGGACAGGAACCACTGGTTTGTTTTTTCCAGAAGCTGTGACATTGCTAACTGTGGTGTAAAACAACCTCTACATTTTGTCATGATTTGTATTGTAACAGAGCATATGGTAACTCCCCTGGCTGGTAGTGTTGAGCCCATCACTCAAGGTGAGACGTACATGCTCTGTGCAGTTCAATAAGATCTGTATAAATCAACTGATCAGATGTCATGAAAGCAGAGCAAATGAACACAGGTATTGTTCCTCAAAGCTTTCAGACTAGCTGAGCGAGACAAAGCAGATTGGCAAGATGACACATAGCATCTTATGTTCCTCATTCAATACATCATTTCCAGACTTGAAATGGCAGAGGAAAAACAGAACAGTGTCTCCATAGAGAAACAGAATCTGGAGGCCAAGTACAAGGACGAGATCGATTCAGCCAAGGTAAGACTGATTGTAATCCAGTATGTAGTAGGAGACCTGATAGGTGATTTCACACAGGTGTTAGGGTTTTCATGGCCGCTTCCTGTCGTCATGGTTCGCCATTACGTACTTGTTAGTTTGGCATTTGTGACAGAACAACATCTGGTATTGGGTGTGGGAGTAACCAAATTAAATTCAAATCTGTTTTTTGGTTTACATGTGTTTTGGTGTGAAACCTAATGCACGATCTGCTTTTGAAATATGTTTCTCATAACTAATGACGAAACTAATGATGTGGATTTTGTTTTGAACAAACCTATTGGTGGATCCAGTAATGTTGGTCAGGTACAACTGTGTCTGCAGATGAGGGTTCATCTGAGGGTTCAAATCCCAAAATAGTCATCCTTGAACAGTGTGTTATCCTTGAACAGTGTGTTCTTGGGTTTCAACAAAGGGGTAGATGTCTACAATGTGGATCTCATTATGCTTTCCATTCACGTTGATATAACTGAAATACTGTACAGTGTTAAACACCCTCACTGAAGTGTGTGCGTGGAGTTGGTGTTATCAGTGTTAAACACCCTTACTGAAGCATGTGGCTAGAGGTGGTGTTATCTGTGTTAAACACCCTCACTGAAGCGTGTGTCTGGAGGTGGTGTTATCAGTGTTAAACACCCTCACTGAAGCATGTGTCTAGATGGTGGTGTTATCAGTGTTATACACCCTCACTGAAGCATGTGGCTAGAGGTGGTGTTATCTGTGTTAAACACCCTCACTGAAGCGTGTGTCTGGAGGTGGTGTTATCAGTGTTAAACACCCTCACTGAAGCATGTGTCTAGATGGTGGTGTTATCAGTGTTAAACACCCTCACTGAAGCATGTGGCTAGAGGTGGTGTTATCTGTGTTAAACACCCTCACTGAAGCGTGTGTCTGGAGGTGGTGTTATCAGTGTTAAACACCCTCACTGAAGCGTGTGTCTGGAGGTGGTGTTATCAGTGTTAAACACCCTCAATGAAGCATGTGTCTAGATGGTGGTGTTATCAGTGTTAAACACCCTCACTGAAGCATGTGTCTAGATGGTGGTGTTATCAGTGTTAAACACCCTCACTGAAGCATGTGGCTAGAGGTGGTGTTATCTGTGTTATACACCCTCACTGAAGCATGTGGCTAGAGGTGGTGTTATCTGTGTTAAACACCCTCACTGAAGCGTGTGTCTGGAGGTGGTGTTATCAGTGTTAAACACCCTCACTGAAGCATGTGTCTAGATGGTGGTGTTATAAGTGTTAAACACCCTCACTGAAGCATGTGGCTAGAGGTGGTGTTATCTGTGTTAAACACCCTCACTGAAGCGTGTGTCTGGAGGTGGTGTTATCAGTGTTAAACACCCTCACTGAAGCATGTGTCTAGATGGTGGTGTTATCAGTGTTAAACACCCTCACTGAAGCGGGTGTCTGGAGGTGGTGTTATCAGTGTTAAACACCCTCACTGAAGCATGTGGCTAGAGGTGGTGTTATCTGTGTTAAACACCCTCACTGAAGCGTGTGTCTGGAGGTGGTGTTATCAGTGTTAAACACCCTCACTGAAGCATGTGTCTGGAGGTGGTGTTATCTGTGTTAAACACCCTCACTGAAGCGTGTGTCTGGAGGTGGTGTTATCAGTGTTAAACACCCTCACTGAAGCGTGTGTCTGGAGGTGGTGTTATCAGTGTTAAACACCCTCAATGAAGCATGTGTCTAGATGGTGGTGTTATCAGTGTTAAACACCCTCACTGAAGCATGTGTCTAGATGGTGGTGTTATCAGTGTTAAACACCCTCACTGAAGCATGTGGCTAGAGGTGGTGTTATCTGTGTTATACACCCTCACTGAAGCATGTGTCTAGATGGTGGTGTTATCTGTGTTAAACACCCTCACTGAAGCGTGTGTCTGGAGGTGGTGTTATCAGTGTTAAACACCCTCACTGAAGCATGTGTCTAGATGGTGGTGTTATCAGTGTTAAACACCCTCACTGAAGCGTGTGTCTAGATGGTGGTGTTATCTGTGTTAAACACCCTCACTGAAGCGTGTGTCTGGAGGTGGTGTTATCAGTGTTAAACACCCTCACTGAAGCGTGTGTCTGGAGGTGGTGTTATCAGTGTTAAACACCCTCACTGAAGCGTGTGTCTAGATGGTGGTGTTATCTGTGTTACTACCTGCTTGTTACAGAGCAGATCCATGGAGGGAGACATATCGGTAAGCTCAAGGATGAGGGAGTAGTCCATCGTGTAACCATGGTAACCAGTGTAACTAACCGGTTGTTACTTGCTGTTTGTATTAACATCAAATATCCCTTGCCTGCAACCTTTGTCACAATTGTCTATCTTGTTATTTTTTAGTTGGGTTTTCAGAATTGGTAGGTTGTGAAAGCTGTAATTTTCTCTGTTGTTTTGTTTATCAATTTTGCGTAAACAAATTATTTGATTTAAAGTTAAAGTAAATATGTTTGAATATTTGTTCAGTTTTTCTTGGAATTTGTTGAATAGCAATGAGTTGTGCTTGGGAAAACTGTCAGTGAGATTTTAATACATTGGTTGCCCTGCTTAAGCCACTGCTCTACCTATAACAGTCGCAAATATATATACCCTCAACTCATGCAGCCATTAACGTGAAGCTTGTAATACAGGAAGCAAACTGTTTGCTGTCCTTTTTCCTGGTCAACACTTAGTGGAGAATACTTAACTGACAACACACAGGTCTGTTCTGAAATAGAAACAATAAATAATACTATGGCTGAGTTATAACAATTGTTGGAAGAACCAGTGTTACCATGAAATAACTGACCACAACTGTAAACTACGAGCAAACGTGACTGTTTAACATTTTTGCTTTTCTTAGCTGAAATCAGTGGTGGAGACATCCCTGATAAGGAGACTTTTATGTACTTTATGAAGTATTAGAAATATTATTCATGTCCCGACAATGCAGTATTTGTGAGGATTCAGGAGACTAGGTCCCCCAGTAACCATGGTAACTCATGCTTGTGTAATTGCTTTGTTATAGTGCCACATAGTCTTCTGTCATGGATTGTGTTCATGTTTGTGGAAAATTGTTCATGAAACCTAGTTTATGTTTTAAGGTAATTGCTCCACATTGTGACAAGGTCAGGGTGAATGTATGATATTAAAGATGAACATTTAACACTTGGCTCACTGACTGGCATTGACGGGCCTGGGTTGTTTCTCAACATACACCCTGTAAATCTTAGTCATGTTTATTTACTGTTGATATCGGAGTGGTGGAGTACCCAAGTGGTTATAGGGTTTGTTTGTCACACCAGAGGTGTCGGATCAATTCCCCATGGGGGTGCAATGAGTGAGGGCCATTTCTAATGTCTTCCGTCATGGTATTGATTGAATATTTCGAAAACAGTACTCCCTCACTCTGTTTGTTGACAGTCGAAACCCGATTCAGGATTTGCAAAGCATGTGCACTGCCAACTTGTCAACAGATATTTTCCAGATCTTTTCCTGTTTTGAATCAGGGTTCTTGTGTGATTCGATGCACTCCGCGATGTAAGACCCGTTTTGTCGCAATATAGATCTTGATTATCGATCAGATTATCTTGACTGGGCGCTGCCATTTTGTTTGAAACAAATGCAAATGATACGAGAGGTGGAATCTGATTGGTCCATAGGAGAGTCTTAGAAGGGACAGTACTCATAATAACCACTGGTGGCGCTACAATCGAGCCCAGGAATTACAGCCGATTTCGGCAAGGGTGGAAACTGGACTTTTAAAGTCAGTTAACTGTCTTCCTCGGGAAGATGGATGGAATATTGCCAACAGTGGTTACAACTGAATCTCTCCTCAGAATCTTACTGATATACACAGACTTGTAAATTAATACCATATTCTAACAAACTAGGATGTGTCATAAGTACTGTTTGTGCGGTAGTACTGAATTAACGTTGTAGTAGGGTGAAGCGTGGGCTTGTTGCATGTGGTTGAGACTTGAAGTGACAAGTGGGTTGTTGTTCAACAGTAGAGTCGTGCTGGTATTTATTAACACTGTGAAATATATTTATTCATGAACCTTGACATGAAGTTGTGATGAATTATGGACTTACTGATGTCATTGTACCTGACTGTGGTAGTAAATATCATCAAGTTCAAATCAAGGTCAATGGGTACTATTACTTTTGATTCATTTTAAACCATCTGCAAGAATTTCAAATGTTAACAACTTTATTTCCTTGCCATTATGTACCATTTTTAACTTTATGACCGATGAAAAAAAACATTTCTATGACTTCCTGTTTCAGAAAGAGGCTGAGAGGTTGAAAGAGGCACGCCAGGGAAACAACATGGAGGAGAGCCTTAAGCTGGCCGAGGCGGAACTCGCACAGGTGCGGGCCGCGCTCCGTCGCACAGAGAAGGAATTGGAGCTGCAAGAGCACTGGTCCGTCCCATCCGAGCTGCAGGCGTGGTTGCAGCTCACACATGAGTTAGAGCAGGTACACTACATGGCGAAACGATCTGCGGCGGAGAAGCAGCTGTCGGTGGCCAAGGAAGGGGTATGTAGTCGGCTCCCCAGCAATGGAGTTGGTTGTGCAACTAGTGGCCATCAAAGGATTACACTCAGGAACTAGTAGTATGCTCAAATGTTACAGAATTCAGAGGGGCGGTCGGGTAGCCTAGTGGTTAAAGCGTTCGCTCGTCACACCGAAGACCCGGGTTTGATTCCCGACATGGGTACAATGTGTGAAGCCCATTATTGGTGTCCCTCCGCCGTGATATTGCTGGAATATTGCTGAAAGCGGCGTAAAACCATACTCACTCACTCACTCACTCACTACAGAATTCAGAAAAAAACATCTTTGAGAATAAGGGGGAATAACTCTGCAGCGGTGACATACAGTATAATGAGTGAAATAGTCAAAGGTTCTTGTTATCTTAATGTTAATGAATAAAACTTGGCCACTGATGCTTAGTAATTCCTTTTTGCAGTGTGATAAGATCCGAAAAAGAAATAAGGCGTTTCTGGGGTCCCTCCGAATGGCCCATGGAAACTCACTGGATGACATTGACCAAAGAATACTTATTGCCAGGTAATGACAAAATGTAAATATGTAACTGTAACATGATTATTGAACATTTAATATAATGGGAATGATAACGATAAATGTAATTGTAAGAAATAATCATGATCTGAAAATAATATATTTAATATGAAAATAATTGTAGTCATTGGTTGGTTGTAGACAAGGTGCCCTACTGTCATTGGTTGGCTGCAGACAAGGTGTTTTACTGTCATTGGTCAGTGGTAGACAAGACGCTTTACTGTCAATGGTTGTAGACAAGGTGTTCTACTGTCATTGGTTGGTTGTAGACAGGGTGCTCTTCTGTCATTGGTTGGTTGTAGACAAGGTGTTCTGCTGTCATTGGTTGGTTGTAGACAAGGTGATCTGCTATCATTGGTTGTAGACAAGGTGCCCTACTGTCATTGGTCGGTTGTAGACAAGGTGTTCTGCTGTCATTGGTTGGTTGTAGACAAGGTGATCTGCTATCATTGGTTGTAGACAAGGTGCCCTACTGTCATTGGTTGGTTGTAGTCAAGGTGCTCTACTGTCATTGGTTGTAGACAAGGTGCTCTACTGTCATTGGTTGTAGACATAGTGCTCTACTGTCATTGGTTGGTTGTAAACAAGGTGCACTGCTGTCATTGGTTGGTTGTAGACAAGGTGCTGTACTTTCAGTGGTTGGTTGTAGACAAGGTGCTCTGCTGTCATTGGTTGGTTGTAGACAAGGTGCTGTACTTTCAATGGTTGGTTGTAAACAAGGTGCTCTACTGTCATTGGTTGGTTGTAGTCAAGGTGCTGTACTTTCAATGGTTGGTTGTAGACAAGCCTTTGAGGAGGTGAAGCAGGACCTACAGGAGCGTCTACATCGCTGGCAGACCATCGAGGAGCTGTGTGGTTTCATTATCATGAGCAATCCCGGCCTGCCCACACTCCGACAGATACTGCAGAAAGACACAGGTAACATCTACATACCCATGCACACCCACATCCACACCCACATCTACATACCCATGCACACCCACATCCACACCCACATCTACATCCGACCGCCTCTGTGGTCTGGTGGTAGAGCGTACGCCCAGAGAACGGAAGGTCCGGGATTCGATCCCCGACTGCGTCATACCAAAAGACTGTACTTGTTGTTACCCTGCCTGGGTTTAAACAAGGACTGGTTGGCCCGGAGTCAGTATACTGTGTCTGAGTGGGGTATTCATGTTAAACTGGTATCTCAGTGAGCTAGCACTATAAATCGGCATCAGTCCAGACTAGTACAAGCAGCCACACAAACACACACACGTACATGCACATCGCTATATAAGGGCAATAGTCTTGGACGCGACATTAAACCCCATTTCACCTCACCACCACATCTACATCTACACCCACACCCACACCCACACCCACACCCACACCCACATCTACACCCACACCCACATCTACATCTACACCCACACCCACATCTACACCCACATCTACATCTACACCCACATCTACATCTACACCCATGTCTTCACCTACATCTACATCTACACCCACATCCACATCTACACCCATGTCTTCACCTACATCTACATCTACACCCACACCCACATCTACACCCACATCTACACCCACATCCACATCTACACCCACATCTACATCTACACCCACATCTACATCTACACCCACATCCACATCTACACCCACATCTACATCTACACCCACATCTACACCCACATCTACATCCACATCCACATCTACACCCACATCTACACCCACATCTACACCCACATCCACATCCACACCCACATCCACACCCACATCTACACCCACATCCACATCCACACCCACATCTACACCCACATCTACATCTACATCTACACCCACATCTACATCCACATCTACACCCACATCCACACCCACATCCACACCCACATCTACACCCACATCTACACCCACATCCACATCCACACCCACATCCACACCCACATCTACACCCACATCCACATCCACACCCACATCTACACCCACATCTACATCTACATCTACACCCACATCCACATCCACATCCACACCCACATCTACACCCACATCTACATCTACATCTACACCCACATCTACACCCACATCTACACCCACATCCACATCCACACCCACATCTACACCCACATCTACATCTACATCTACACCCACATCTACACCCACATCTACACCCACATCCACATCCACATCCACACCCACATCTACACCCACATCCACACCCACAACCACATCTACACCCACATCTACACCCACATCTACACCCACATCTACACCCACATCCACACCCACATCCACCTCTACACCCACATCTACACCCACATCAGCCACCTCTGTATCCATCTTAGACTGTGACATGGTATCTCAATGGGTTAGCACTACAAAACTGGCCAACTCATTGGGGCACAGGTGGCCCAGTCATTGAAGGCACCGCAATTCGCTATACAGAGTAGCATCTTTTGGTCATGCCAGAAACCTATGATTGTGGGTTCAAATGCTGGTTCACCTGATTATGTTTCTAGGTTTGTCAGCACCATCCTAGTGCTCATGAGTTCCACCAGAATGGTATATTTCTGGGACCTGCATCACTTGGAGCATTCCTCCCACATTACGCTGACAGCCTGTCATGTAACTGGTCAAAGCTGCACTAAAACTCAACTCACTCACTCACACACATCCATACAAGTCCCTATATAAGTGCAATAATCTTCAACAAAATGTTAAACCCCACTTTACCTTACCTCTGTCACCATCCACAATCACGGCTGCACCTGCACTTAGCTCAAACACAACACACTTGAAAACAATATATTCTATTAATCAAGTATGTGATTAATTGTGGATGTTGTGTGTGGCAGGTCAAGGAGGTCGCGTGGGGTCGTCCATCCTGGGCCCAGTAGGTGTGGAGGAAGCAGATGAGGACCTGCCCCCAGCCTACCCAACTGGTGAGTACAGGCAGTAGGCAGAGGCTGGGCTGTAGGCAGAGTGCAAGGGGTAGGCAGACGGTATGCAGAAGACCGTAGGCTGAGTATGCAGTAAACAGAGGGTGGTGATACGCAGCAATCAAAGCATGGGTGATATGTAATAAAGAGAGGGTGGGTGATACACAGTAAACAGAGGGTGCGTGATACACAGTAAACAGAGGGTGGTTGATGCGCAGTAAACAGAGGGTGAGTGATGCACAGTAAACAGAGTGGGTGATGCACAGTAAACAGAGAGTGGGTGATACGCAGTAAACAGAGGGTGGTTGATACGCAGTAAACAGAGTGTGGGTGATGCACAGTAAACAGAGGGTGGGTGATACGCAGTAAACAGAGGGTGGGTGATACGCAGTAAACAGAGGGTGGTTGATACGCAGTAAACAGAGAGTGGGTGATACACAGTAAACAGAGGGTGGTTGATACGCAGTAAACAGAGGGTGGGTGATACACAGTAAACAGAGGGTGGTGATACGCAGCAATCAAAGCATGGGTGATATGTAATAAAGAGAGGGTGGGTGATACACAGTAAACAGAGGGTGGGTGATGCACAGTAAACAGAGGGTGGGTGATACGCAGTAAACAGTGGGTGATACACAGTAAACAGAGGGTGGTTGATACGCAGTAGGCAGAGAGTGGGTGATACACAGTTAACCGAGGATGGGTGATACGCAGTAAACAGGGTGGGTGATATGCAGTAAACAGAGGATGATGATATGTAATAAAGAGAGTGGGTGATACACAGTAAACAGAGAGTGGGTGATACACGTTGGGTGGTTGATACGCAGTAAACAGAGTGGGTGATGCACAGTAAACAGAGAGTGGGTGATACACAGTAAACAGAGAGTCGGTGATACACAGTAAACAGGGTGGTTGATACGCAGTAAACAGAGTGGGTGATGCACAGTAAACAGAGAGTGGGTGATACGCAGTAAACAGAGAGTGGGTGATACACAGTAAACAGAGTGGGTGATACGCAGTAAACAGGGTGGTTGATACGCAGTAAACAGAGAGTGGGTGATACACAGTAAACAGAGGATGGTGATATGCAGTGAACAGAGGGTGGTTGATACGCAGTAAACAGAGGGTGGTTGATACGCAGTAAACAGAGGGTGGGTGATATGCAGTAAACAGAGGGTGGTTGATACGCAGTAAACAGAGGGTGGTTGATACGCAGTAAACAGAGGGTGGGTGATATGCAGTAAACAGAGGGTGGTTGATACGCAGTAAACACAGAGTGGGTGATACACAGTAAACAGAGGGTGGTGATACACACTGAACAGAGTTTGAGCCAGTCATGTGTATGAATATCTGTAAGATCTACAGGTGGTGATAAGGCCACCAACAGTACAGCATGTATACAACATCCTTGTCATACTCCCCTATGCTCCCCTGCCTGACAATCCTGTCAACATTTTGTTTAATGTTTTTCTTTTATTAATGTCTTCTTATCTATTTTAATTTCATGACAGAAGTACATGGAACAACCAACTTTTAGTTTGCTCCTGTATAGATTTTATTATTAATCAAAATGCCAATGGGAGGATTGATAGAGGGCACATGAGCATGTATCAAAATATTTGCAGGCAGATCAATAAAACAAGGTAATCATTTTCGTTTTCTACTCTCTAATCTGAGTGCAGTCTTTCCACTTTGTACATACTGGTGTCTGACTGTAACGTGTTGCCGTGTGATGCCACTTCTCACATATAACCCCTTGTGTTGACAGTTGTACATTCCACAGTAGCTAATGGCACAGGTCGTCCGCGTGCTCTTTCAGGTAGGCGATGTCGTTGTGTGTTGTCACAGCATGGTGGGTGATGCGGCAGTGGCGACAGCTAACTCCGTCCACACAGGAACACGTGGACCTGGCTGGGCTTTACATCCATCAGTGGTTGTTTGGAAAATAGCATCAGCTTGTTTGAAAAAATTACTATAAGGTGAATAATAATATATTCGAAAACATTAATGACACAAATATTTGTTCCATAAAATATTAACAATACTGGTATTTGTTCCTCAAAACATTAATGATGCCACTATTTGCTTCACAAAACATTAATGATACCGGTATTTATTTCACAAAACGTTAATGAAACCGGTATTTATTTCACAAAACGTAAATGATACCGGAATTTATTTCACAAAACATTAATGACACAGGTATTTATTTCACACAACCCTTATGATACTGGTATTTATTCCACAAAACACTAAGGATACTGGTATTTATTCCACAAAACACTAATGATATTGGTATTAATTCTACAAAACACTAATGATACTAGTATTTATTTGACAAGAAATTATTTTGCTGTTGTACTGAATAAGAATCTGTGAAAAAAAAGTCATAAGTGTCCAGAGAGCTTGTTAGCGGTCAGTCATTTGCACAACCAGCCAGGTTCACGTTTCCCTACCGTACACAGTAGAGCCTAATTGTAGTCACTCACCAATAATGCACCCAACCTTCTGCTTGGAATTGAGATAACTAACTGGTTTTGTCAAAGGAACATGTTGAATGGATCCCAGTGACAACATCAATACATTGTTTGGAATGGATCCAGTTTTATTGCAGCGTGGAAGGGAGGTAACTCTCATGGATCTGTGGCTTGTTTCTCTCATTTAGATCATAGTCTAGGACAAATGTTGAGAAGACAATGGTCGGTGTCCGCATGTTCTTCTGTTGGGCGAGAAATGATGTTACTGTCCTCATTTCATTCACCTGCACATCCTTCTGTCCATGCACCAGCTGCGAATATATCTAATTCATCGTAATAATCTGGCTGAGGAAGCCAGTCCATATTCTGATGGTTATATCAGTTTTATGGTTGTCCCAAATTTCAAGTTTATGTTTTACGAAATCCATGGCTTTGATGTATTGAAATATGAAAAAATCATGCTTTTTATTCCGTTGTCGGAAGAAATGGTTTGTATGTGGATAAAGTCAGATTTGACGGACAATAATACTCCAATGTGTGGCTGTAAATACCATCAATGTTTATGATGTATAGGCTACATTGTTGATTGTCGCAGATGCTGTAATATACTCAACAACAAAAGTTCCTGTGACACCAATATTTTAGTGTATTTTTCAAACAAGTAAAGTTTGGTTTTCAATATTGTAGTACATGTATGGAATCAAGTCACAAAAACGCAACTGCTGCAGAAAAGCATGCATTGCATGCAAAAGTTGACTTTTATGCAAGCCCCATGCCCAAGAATGGGTATAAAAACATGTGCGTTAACGGGATTCCATATGCATTGTTTAGCATTGTGCTGACAACAACCACTCAGAAAAACAACACATTTACAAAATGCCATGCCTGTCCGAAAATGAGCGAGCCATTGGAATGCTTGAAGCAGGATCGAGTCAACGTGAAGTTGCAAGACAATTTAACGTCCACAGAAACACCATTTGGTGTTTATGTCACCGTTGGCAACAGACGAATGCAGTCAGAGACCATCCTCAGAGTGGCAGGCCACGCGTAACCAATAATCAACAAGACAACTGGATTCGAAAAACACACCTACGAAATCAATTCCAGCCAGCAACAGTGACTGCAAGAAGCATCCCTGGCCTTTGACGAATATTTTCACAAACCGTACATCGTCGCCTCAGATGTGCAGGAAACCACCGTCAAGCACGTCTACAGTGGTGCAGACAGCGTCTACGCTGGACGGCCATGTAGTGGGGACAAGTTCTATTCACTGACGAGTCTCGTTTTCACCTCAGCCACAGCGATTGACGGATTCGAGTGTACCGACGTCGAGGTGAACGTTCTACAGTTGTTGCGTCATCATGGCCCAGGCATTACCTTTCAACGTGACAACGCCCAGCCTTATATTGCTCAACTTGTTCAGGATTCTCTTCAACAAAACAACAGGAATGTCATCCCCTGGCCGGCTCGCTCCCCTGATCTCTCCCCAATCGAGCACATGTGGGATGAGATGGATCGGCGCCTTCGACGTCAACCACATGTTCCACAGACACTCCAGGAACTTTAAAACATGCTCCAGCAGATATGGACAGATATCCCACAGGACTTTGTACGACACCTGGTCCATTCCATGAGACGAAGATGAGTTGCTTGCATCGCAACCAGAGGTGGACACGCATGCTATTGATTTGTAAATTGACATGTTTTTTTATGAAATCATGCATTTTCTAAGTCAGTATGGCAAATTGAACCATTTGAACACTTACATGATGAGTCTTTTATCTGTTGCAAACTGAAATTGTTTCAGATTAGTAAAAAACATAACTTTGCATTCAATCTTTTTCAATGTCACAGGAACTTTTGTTGTTCAGTATATTATTATTGGATTGGTCAGATTTGCTCCTTATACAATCTGAATATGTTTGTGTAATTATCAGTTTCTGCATGTCAGTGATGCTGTAGTAACAGCTGGTTATTAACAATCATGAATAATAGTGTCTTTAAGTATTTTGTTTAAATGTGTTGCTATGAGACATAATTAACTGCTGAAATAATATCATGCTAACTTGGAGACTGATTGGCTGTTTTGAATGTATCAATCCAATCCAATCCGTGTTAACGCTGTCAATCAAAAGGACCTTGCCTCTGATTGGTTGTTGTTTCAGTTCAAGTGGAGCACATGTCCTATAACCCGTCTCTCAGTTCCTTGAAAAGCAGCTCTATGAAAGCTCCCTATTCCAGGAGTAAGATATGCTAGTTTGTGTTGCCATGGCTACAGTGTGTTGTGTGTATGCTGACTCCCTTTGTCTCATCTGTAGAACGCATGTAATGTAGTCGTGTCCATGTCACGAGAACATAGGCCAGAGTTTTGTAAACCTGGTGCATGAGTTATCAACAATGTTGGAATGTGTGGCGGCCCTGTAGGCCCAGAGCAATGTCTTGGTTGTCCTCTGTGATTTGTGCATTATTGTGGGCATTTGGAACACAGGAACTCGATAGCGTGTATAGCATAATATATTTGTATAGAAAAAAATCACACCCTCTATATACATATAGACAAGGAGTGACACCCGACATCTTGGTCCTTATTCAAGATTTCGCACTCGGTTCGAACCACAGCTCGCTATCGCATGAAATATGAATGCACAATCAAGTTCAACTGTGGTCACCTTACCTCATATTTATTTTAAAACAACCATCAAATCTCAGCTCTAAGCTTCGCCGCTGAGGTAAACAAGAAAAAGGTGGCCCGAAATTACAGCGCTACACGGACCTCACTCAGTATTTTTCTGCTAACTTAATATGACACCATATACAGCACCTAAAAAACACCATAACAAATTTATTGTGTCGAAAACTTTACACTCTCTGGTATCCATATCGCACATTTTGCCTTTTATCAGAGATTTTCTCATCGGTGCTACTATAGCAAAGTGTTTGACAGCCATTACTGATGTCAAAGGGAGACCATTCATCAAACCTTAGGGGCCAAACCTTGTTGAAATTTATAACTATGATCTTTAGCAGCAAAGTGACGAACATGATCTAAAAACAGATTAATTTCCTTGCACATCACAATTAATGATAGTAAAACACTAAACAGTGTCAAATAACAAATTTCAGTACCAGCATTTCCATGTGAAATATGTGAGGGGAGTGTTGGCAAATCCAAAATGGCTGTTACTGACGGTGTATGGTCTCTTATTAGGTCAGTATCAACCATCTTGGATTTTTACTGATGCTATATGGGGTCTTCTGGGGTCAGTAGTTCTGCTCTCTGATTGGTCAATCTCACTTTGAGACATAATAAATCTTGTTACTACATCTTGTATGGACGATCAATATCAGCCGATTGTAGTAATTGTAGTTATGTCCCTTAATGGATCATCTGCTTGTCTGCTCGGCCAGCTTTCTCATTACAATGGGGGCGGTAGCGTAGCCTAGTGGTTAAAGTGTTCACTGATCACGCTGAAGGCCCGGGTTTGATTCCTCACATGGGTACCAAGTGTGAAGTCCACTCTCGTATCCCTCACCGTGATATTGCTAAAAGCAGCGTAAAACCATACAAAAGTTAATGTCTTCCAGAGAAGGTGAAAATGTATTGCATTCACTTGCAGATAGATATATTTCACAGTTTGATATTGTGGTATGGGATAAGTAGGTTATTATAGGCCAGTTTTCATGTTATTCCCCATTTCCATTCTGGTCTGGGCTGATATGCGAGTCTGGGGTTGAAATGTCCACCATGTCTATGTCAGAGGTCTTGGTCCTGTTCTTGGCATGTTGTTGACAATGGTAATATCTCATCATATTTATTGTCAGTATTTATCTTGCATGAATATTTAGGCATGTACAGAGCTATAAATAGATTGTATCCCAGCATTCCAACCACGTGGAGAACTTTGTGAACTGCGATGTTGTTCCTTTCTGATGAACAATGTAAATCGGTCTTATCTGTTATCTTGGTTTTCCCCGGTAGTTTTGTATTGCAATGGTTTCCAGAGTTGCGAGTGTGTGGGGAAATATATGGGCGGCCTTTCGGGGGAAAAAATACAAAGTTGAAATAAAGGACAAAAGTACGCAATAATAGTCAAATGTTACGAAGAAAGTATTAAATGTTACTAATTAAGGTAAAAAAACCAAACAAACAGGCGCCAGTTAAAAAATACACAGTTGAAATGAAGGTCAAAAGAATGCAATAGTCAAATGTTACGAAAATATGTCATATGAAAAGAAAAAACAATGTGTTCTAAAGAACGTCATTGCGCATGAATGGACACTAAACTCCTAAAGGACATTGACAATAAAGAACACCAGATGGCGATTCAATTTGTAAATTATTCTGAGTTTAATCGGCTTTAACGCTGTGTATATGATGTGTGCCGAGGCTCTTTTCATATGACGTCTTTTCGTAACATTTTACTATTTTTTGCGTACGTTTGACCTTCATTTCAGCTTAGTATTTTTTTTACCGGCGTCTTCCTAACATTTGAATGCTTGCATCATTAACCACCAGTTTTATAGTCCAGACATGATTTCAGTCAGAAGCACTAGATCTGTAACTCACTGTAAACCTCTCTACACTTATATTAACTGTGGCATCTTCCCAGGCAAGGGAGTTTACTGACTATAAATGTCCAGTTTCAACCCTTGCAACTAGGCTGGAATTCCAGAGGTACAGTTTGGCTGGATTAACGGGTCCATGCATAGTCCAATCAAAATCATGTCACGAACTAGACATTGTAAACAACATTGATTGCATCAAGCAGATTTCGGTTGACTGCAGGATTTGCAAAGCATGTGTAATGTCAACTTGACATCGACAGGTGTTTTCCAATTTTTTCATCAAGGTGGTAATTTGATGCACTACGCGAGGTATGACCCTTGTTTATTTCATTATGTATCTTGATTGTCCATCAGATCGTCTTGGCTGGGCGCTGACATTTTGTTTGAAGTTAATGCATGTGATATTAGAGGTGGAATCTGTTTGGTCAATAGTACAGACATAAAAGGGACTTATCTCGTAATGCCCACTGGTGGTGCAACGATCAAGCCACAAAACTGGAAACTGGACTTTCACAGTCGGTTAATTCCCTTGCCTCAGGAAGATGGACTATGGCTTCTGTCTGTAACACACACATTGTTGTATCAGCAAGACCACCTCATTGTTAATCCTGTTCTGTGGTACATCACTTGCAATGTTAATCTTGACATCAGTTAGATGAAGCTGCTGTAAAATCATCACTATTGTCACTGTTGGCAAATCCTGCCAAGAGTTCTGATGTATGGAGACACAAGAGCAGGTAGATGGCACATGTAGCATGAATGTAACGCGGGATGTAATCTCTTGATATCACCGGAAATAATGATTTATCAGTGATCCAGAAATATGGGCTACCCACGTAGAATGTTGTTTCTATTCTGGTTCACGCTGTTTCACATATTTGTATCCATTTATTGTGTCCCTGCTTTAGCCTGTTCACATTTACATGTATATTTTGTCACAATTTTTATCCATATATGAACAAACAGATGTTTAACAAGAACCTTTTTCCTGTTTATTTTCAGGCCTGTATGATTTTCTTAATAAAGGTACATACAGTGCTGACCTCCAACCTCTCTGTTGCACAATCTGTGGCTTCAGTAACTGCACCCATGGTTCAGTCTTGTCGCAACAAGTGGGCTTTGTCATTGTGTCATAGTCCTCCTGTGCATGAATTTCATGGCTGTTCCTCAATAAAGTCCTGGGGAGTTGATAGACAGTGGCATACAGAAGCCTGTCATCTTAAGGCTGTGGCGGCAAGATCTTTTCTTAGGGTTCAGGCAAACACGTTTATGTAACATTAGGCTTTTCACTTGCTTGAACAATAATCACTCGCACACTTGATTTTGTCAGCAGTGGAACTCCTTGTTGACGTCCCAGTTACTTGTTTTATGAAGTGTGTTAATTTTCTTTGCACACTTATGAATTTTGTGGAGAGGTGTTCCTTATTGCTTCTTAGGCCATTTTGACTTTTGTTACGGAGACATGTGGTATTTAGTATCGGCTTCTGGAACTGTGATATCCTTGAATCATATATCTTTTGTTCTCATGTAAACATCCTTCCTGGAAACAAGCATAGTTTTGAGAAATGAAACTTTATTCTGCTGCACAAAAGCTTTTTATGGAAACTTTTCATTTCTATTCTTATTAAACTCATTTTGCACTGTGTTTTTGTCACCTCTGTGAACTTGTCACCAGTGTTGATGTGGAAAAGCTTTGGATTCTTCACTCCGGAAGAACTTCTGTGTATTCCTGTTGGCTCAACTTGGTCAGAGGGAGTTCTTGTCCATAATTCAAGATGGTCGCCAGGGCAGCCATGTTGGATTTCTCAAAATTCTTCTCTGAACCGTAGAGGTTATGAAGATTTCACTTCAGAGAGAAGTCGAGAAACTTCCATTTGTGAAGATGCTCGTCTGCCATGTTATAATAAGGCTGCCATGGCTGTGTGAAGTTCTTATTCACTTTGGAACAGCTGTACTGATGTGGAACAGTGTTGTGAATTAGTCAGTGGTGACATATGGTTTCTTGTGTTGTTTCCTAGATTTCGAAGTGTTTTGTATTCCCGGTAACTGGTGTGTGCTAGCCTCAACCTTCCTAGTGTCACAGTCTTGGGCTGTCTTCCACATCGAGCTGACACAACATCATATCACTGAGATACTGTTGAATGTGGCATTATACCAAACTCACCCACTCAGACGCTCACCATTGAAATATATAACTATTACAGTGTATATTTGTCCCACCATTCTCTGATATACATAGAGAATCTCACCCAACTCTCTTTTGATATTAAATATATTAACCCAATTTGGTATTAAAGATTTCAAAAGACACAAGGTTGAGATTATTTTTGTCATCCTAAATCATTCTTCCAACTTTCAAGTTTGTAAACAGTAAAAACTTGTGTCTTGAGTGTAAAAAGTATAGCTGACAAGTTTCAGTGACAGAGAGATTTGTGATGTCATTTGATTGTGGCGTCATGGTAACCGATGACATCACAATAGTCTTCAAAGCATTGTGATGCAATTTCATCTCCTGTGGAAGACAGTTTTGGACCATAAAATAGATCAATAATGTACATGCATATTATCAAATGAAAATGATGTTAGAATTTGAAAGTTGACTATGTTTCACTGTTATGTCAGAATGTTGAGTCAAGAGGTGACTGAGCATAGAGACAGAATATAGATGGATGGAGATGGACTTATCTTGTTTTACTAACAACCCATACTAACACGTGACATGATGCTTCAACCATGTTGAGTCTGTTATGAACATACCGGTATGTTATTATCAATATATACCGTTGTGAGGATATAGATATAGATATACATATACATATATACATATACATATATAGATGTACATATATATACTGCCATGATGCTGTAGTTCTATGTTTTGTGTGTATTGTTGCCTATATACTGCTACATATGTATGTATGTTTTCTTGCAGTTTGTTTTTGATTAGATTTTCACTTTACAATTATATGAATCTTTGTGTTTGTAAACTGTGATGCTCTGACAGGGATCTGCATCTGCTGAAGACATTGGGAGTTGATGAACAATCTCTCTAAATACATTATGATTAAAAACAATAATGGTCTGGTTCTCAGGCCCTGCCCACATCATCATTAAGTTTGGTGTACCAGTACTTTTCATTTTTACTCCACTTCTATTTTTTTTAAATTCTTAAATATTCAAAGTCTCACGGTTGTCAAATACTGTATTCCAGTATTTCACTCATCAAGGAAAACATGAATACATTTATGTAGGGAGGCCTTTTCCAAGGTTGATGGTACACAAAACACACACACGAAATCACTGCCCGTCTGCCCGCACTATATTTTCAAAAGCCGTTGCCTGAGAACCAGTTCTTTTATATTTTTAAGCCTATTGCTGTAACACGGGTTATATAAAGCAAACAAAACCTGGACCTTGAGTGTCCCCCAAGCACACACGTGTGTCTGTGGAATCTGTGGCAGGTTGCTGTCCTCAATGTACACAGATGTCATGCTTCAAGATGTTTCGATTTCCATGTTTCCAGAGTTTAAGGCTGCTTGAAGAAAACCATTTTCTGAGCGATGGTTATCAAATATTTGTCAATCCTCCGCATCTAAAAATGTAAACATCAACTCAGTCATTTAAAATTATGCAATTCAGAAGAGTGAACAAGAGTCACTCAATGTGCTTGTCATAAGAGGCGACTAACGGGATCTGGTGTTCAGGCTTGCTGACTTGGTTGATGCATGTCATCGTATCCAAATTTTGTGGATCGATGCTCATGATGTTGATCACTGGATTGACTGGTCCAGACTTGATTATTTACAGACTGCCATCACATATCTGGAATATTGCTGAGTGCAGCGTAAAACAACAAATAAACAAACATTAACACAATCCAATATACAGCAGTTGTCCACCATTCATGAACCTAGTTGTAGGTGATGTGGCTGCTCTGTCCAGGATATTCCTCTAGGGTCGACCATTTCAATATGATCACTTTGCTCCTTCTGTTTGCAGCGTATAACCCTTCCTCCCAAACCAAGGGGAGTCTCCCTCGCCTGCGGTCTGCCGCCAGTTCGGGCAGCACTGGTTCCCTGAGCCGGGTCGGAATCGGCAACGGTAGCTCCAGACAGTCGGACAGTCCAAGTCCATCAGACCATGGGTCCGTCGGCCCAGTGTCTTTCCACCTCGGAGAGAAGTAAGTTATTCCCTGTAACCAGAGTTATCTCCCTTCCCTCTAGCTTTGCATGACTAGTTTCCATAGAACAGTGATGTGCCACTTGCTGGGTGTGTCTAGATATTTTTTATATTTAAGTACTATATAAGCCACAGATAGTATTTGGTTCGGCTGATCAATATGTCTTTGATTTCTGTTTTTCATTTGAGTTTGGATAAAAATTACTTTCTGTAATGTTCCAATTGACGAAGGAGTCTCTATGTGATGTAAACCCACTATAAAGTGAGGAAGCATTTCAGCTGAATAGCCATTCAACACTTCTTTGCACACTTTGCAATGTTTGAACTGATGGCCCTTTGAATCAAGGACTTTATCGATTATAGTTTTGGTATGTTCGTTAAATAAAGTTGGACTTAACCGCACGCAATAATATGAGTTTGTTTCGGAAGCGTAACTGAAAAATATATTGATCGAGAACCATGAATATCTGTACTTATTTTTGTGCCTTTGAAGAAAAATAAAACTGAGAAAATATTTCAGGTGTGCGTCATGCACCTCAACGTTTTATAATGGCTTAAGTGTTCTGTTAGCAGTACTTGTTGTAAGGGGCGACTAATGGGATTGGCAGTCAGACTCGGTGTCTTGGTTGATGCTTGTCATTGTATCCCATTTGATCGATGCTCATGATGTCAATCACTGGATTGCCTGGTCCAGACTCGATTATTTACAAACCGCCATCATATAGCTGGAATATTGCTGAGTGCGGCGTTAAACAACAAACAAACAAACAAGACATATGGCTGGACTATTGCTGAGTGCAGCATTAAACAACAAACAAATCATTAAGCAGTGTGATATGGTCTGATGCTAAATCTCATGGTTCTACTGTTAGTAAGGATGGTATACACTATGCAAATCATGGACAACCCAGCAAGTGGCATGTTACTCTCGTTACAGTAGATCTACCTTCAAGCAGGGCTTGAGGATCAGCTTCATCTCAAATTCACCTGTCATTTTCCAAGTTTGACAAAACATTTTATATTGACATAACTTCCCCGTAATATAAGTCATTTTATGTATATTATCCAGTTTTTGACTATTTGAATATATTTTTATTATTTTTTACTATTTTTACTTTTTAATTTTGTATTTTTTTCCTTTCAATGCTTACAAAATGATGTAGATTTGAATATTTGATATTTTTTTTAATTTATTCATTATAGCTGTTTTGGCTCTGTGTTATATTGTACCTTGTACACATGCCCATTTGTAACAAATTAACATGAACTCAAAATATAACAGCTTACGCACAAACATAAATTAATTATTGTATTTTACATTTATATTTAAGACAAAATCTTACAATAAAAAGAAAATGATCTGTGGCAAGTTCTAAAGTAATTTGTTCAGTAAATGGAGTTCACTAAAGTAGGATTTGGCTCACCCTTGACATGTTTCCATGGTACTCCATGTTGTTGCAGGGACTGATTACAAAGGTATGTCCTCTGAAATCAGGAATGGAATGACCTCATTAAATTTGGCATGCATGCTGAACCTGGGCCAGGCTTGAGACCGATATGTCCTCCCTCACTGACAATAACAACTTGTCTGTCTACTGTCTGGCTGCTGAACATGTTGTGACGGAGGAGAGACTGTCCTTTCTGTAGATCTGTCCTAATACTAACCAGAATGATGCTCTCTCAAGTTATTATCAGCACATTAACCTATATCATGCTTCTGTATGCATTTGAATGGGTCGCCTATATTAGAACATTCAGTGTTCATTCAGGTGTCCAGTTGTTAATGGGACATCAGTAAATGCTTCTTTCAAAGGTGTATGCAGACGCATGATTGATGAAACTAACCCTTGTTGCTCTATCTGTGATGTATTATACAACATACTCTCCAATGTAACCATGGTAACAAGTATACATGTGTTTAAAACATTAACATTGTATTTCATTGCTGCAAGGACATTTTTTCACAGCGACTACGCAAATGGAGAAACAATGTCAGCCGCGAGGTCGAGATGGCAACTTTCTTTACGACTTCTCGCCGCGAGAAAAAAGTAAATTAATTCATTCATTATTAACTGGAATGACAATGAGTGTGTTCTTTGCATAGATTTGAACCGATTCTTTCTTTGACCTTTGATCTACCTGTCATTCTGCACATGTGTTTTTACCACAGTAGTGAGGATTGCTCAGTAGGTGCCTGTGAATAACACACAACTGCTGGGTGAGGGAGTGGTGTGGTAAATAGTATCTGGCATTGATGTGTGTGTAACGTCAGCTTTTCGCTTACAGACTTGTAACATGAAGTAACACTGCAACAAGTTAAACATTTGCTGAAAACAGCCACATAGCTTTTTGGTGATTTGGGTCTTGCAAGCATTTTATCGATATATAAGTATCATCATGGAATTGGACTTCTGTATCAGAGAGTGTAGGTTCTTCTCTGTTAGTACAATCAGGGAATATTGAAGGCAGTAGGCACTTTTCTGTTATTACAGTCAGGGAATATAAAAGGGAGTAGACACTTCTCTATAAGTACAGTCAGGGAATACAAGAGGGAGTACACACTTCTCTATAAGTACATTCAGGGAATACAAGAGGGAGTAGATACTTCTGTATAAGTACAGTCAGGGAATACAAGAGGGAGTAGACACTTCTCTATAAGTACAGTCAGGGAATACAAGAGGGAGTACACACTTCTGTATAAGTACAGTCAGGGAATACACAAGGGAGTAGATACTTCTGTATAAGTACAGTCAGGGAATACAAGAGGGAGTGGACACTTCTGTATAAGTACAGTCAGGGAATACACAAGGTAGTAGACACTTCTGTATAAGTACAGTCAGGGAATACAAGAGGGAGTAGACACTTCTCTATAAGTACAGTCAGGGAATACAAGAGGGAGTACACACTTCTCTATAAGTACAGTCAGGGAATACAAGAGGGAGTAGATACTTCTCTATAAGTACAGTCAGGGAATACAAGAGGGAGTAGACACTTCTCTATAAGTACAGTCAGGGAATACAAGAGGGAGTACACACTTCTCTATAAGTACAGTCAGGGAATACAAGAGGGAGTAGATACTTCTCTATAAGTACAGTCAGGGAATACAAGAGGTAGTGGATACTTCTGTATAAGTACAGTTAGGGAATACACGAGGGAGTGGATACTTCTCTATAAGTACAGTCAGGGAATACAAGAGGTAGTAGACACTTCTCTATAAGTACAGTCAGGGAATACACGAGGGAGTAGATACTTCTGTATAAGTACACTCAGGGAATACAAGAGGTAGTAGACACTTCTGTATAAGTACAGTCAGGGAATACACAAGGGAGTAGACACTTCTGTATAAGTACAGTCAGGGAATACAAGAGGGAGTAGACACTTCTCTATAAGTACAGTCAGGGAATACACGAGGGAGTAGATACTTCTCTATAAGTACAGTCAGGGAATACACAAGGGAGTAGACACTTCTGTATAAGTACAGTCAGGGAATACAAGAGGGAGTAGACACTTCTCTATAAGTACAGTCAGGGAATACACGAGGGAGTGGACACTTCTCTATAAGTACAGTCAGGGAATACAAGAGGTAGTAGATACTTCTGTTTAAGTACAGTCAGGGAATACAAGAGGGAGTAGATACTTCTGTATAAGTACAGTCAGGGAATACACAAGGGAGTAGACACTTCTGTATAAGTACAGTCAGGGAATACAAGAGGGAGTAGACACTTCTCTATAAGTACAGTCAGGGAATACACGAGGGAGTGGACACTTCTCTATAAGTACAGTCAGGGAATACAAGAGGTAGTAGATACTTCTGTTTAAGTACAGTCAGGGAATACAAGAGGGAGTAGATACTTCTGTATAAGTACAGTCAGGGAATACACGAGGGAGTAGACACTTCTGTTTAAGTACAGTCAGGGAATACAAGAGGGAGTGGACACTTCTCTATAAGTACAGTCAGGGAATACACAAGGGAGTAGACACTTCTGTATAAGTACAGTCAGGGAATACAAGAGGGAGTAGATACTTCTGTATAAGTACAGTCAGGGAATACAAGAGGGAGTAGACACTTCTGTTTAAGTACAGTCAGGGAATACAAGAGGGAGTGGACACTTCTCTATAAGTACAGTCAGGGAATACACAAGGGAGTAGACACTTCTGTATAAGTACAGTCAGGGAATACACGAGGGAGTGGACACTTCTCTATAAGTACAGTCAGGGAATACAAGAGGTAGTAGATACTTCTGTTGAAGTACAGTCAGGGAATACAAGAGGGAGTAGATACTTCTGTATAAGTACAGTCAGGGAATACAAGAGGGAGTAGATACTTCTGTATAAGTACAGTCAGGGAATACACAAGGGAGTAGACACTTCTCTATAAGTACAGTCAGGGAATACAAGAGGGAGTAGATACTTCTGTATAAGTACAGTCAGGGAATACACAAGGGAGTAGACACTTCTCTATAAGTACAGTCAGGGAATACAAGAGGGAGTAGATACTTCTGTATAAGTACAGTCAGGGAATACAAGAGGGAGTAGATACTTCTGTATAAGTACAGTCAGGGAATACAAGAGGGAGTAGATACTTCTGTATAAGTACAGTCAGGGAATACAAGAGGGAGTAGATACTTCTGTATAAGTACAGTCAGGGAATACAAGAGGTAGTAGACACTTCTGTATAAGTACAGTCAGGGAATACAAGAGGGAGTAGATACTTCTGTATAAGTACAGTCAGGGAATACAAGAGGGAGTAGATACTTCTGTATAAGTACAGTCAGGGAATACAAGAGGTAGTAGATACTTCTGTATAAGTACAGTCAGGGAATACAAGAGGGAGTGGATACTTCTGTATAAGTACAGTCAGGGAATACAAGAGGGAGTAGATACTTCTGTATAAGTACAGTCAGGGAATACAAGAGGGAGTAGATACTTCTGTATAAGTAGTCATGGAATACAAGAGGGAGTAGACACTTCTCTATAAGTACAGTCAGGGAATACACGAGGGAGTGGATACTTCTCTATAAGTACAGTCAGGGAATACAAGAGGGAGTAGACACTTCTGTATAAGTACAGTCAGGGAATACACGAGGGAGTAGATACTTCTCTATAAGTACAGTCAGGGAATACACGAGGGAGTAGATACTTCTGTATAAGTACAGTCAGGGAATACACGAGGGAGTAGATACTTCTGTATAAGTACAGTCAGGGAATACAAGAGGGAGTAGATACTTCTATATAAGTACAGTCAGGGAATACAAGAGGGAGTAGATACTTCTGTATAAGTACAGTCAGGGAATACACGAGGGAGTAGATACTTCTGTATAAGTACAGTCAGGGAATACAAGAGGGAGTAGATACTTCTGTATAAGTACAGTCAGGGAATACACGAGGGAGTAGATACTTCTGTATAAGTACAGTCAGGGAATACAAGAGGGAGTAGATACTTCTCTATAAGTACAGTCAGGGAATACAAGAGGGAGTAGATACTTCTGTATAAGTACAGTCAGGGAATACACGAGGGAGTAGATACTTCTGTATAAGTACAGTCAGGGAATACAAGAGGGAGTAGACACTTCTGTATAAGTACACTCAGGGAATACAAGAGGGAGTAGATACTTCTCTATAAGTACAATCAGGGAATACACGAGGGAGTAGATACTTCTGTATAAGTACAGTCAGGGAATACAAGAGGTAGTAGACACTTCTGTATAAGTACAGTCAGGGAATACAAGAGGTAGTAGATACTTCTGTATAAGTACAGTCAGGGAATACAAGAGGGAGTAGATACTTCTGTATAAGTACAGTCAGGGAATACAAGAGGGAGTAGATACTTCTGTATAAGTACAGTCAGGGAATACAAGAGGGAGTAGATACTTCTGTATAAGTACAGTCAGGGAATACAAGAGGGAGTAGATACTTCTGTATAAGTACAGTCAGGGAATACAAGAGGTAGTAGACACTTCTGTATAAGTACAGTCAGGGAATACAAGAGGGAGTGGATACTTCTGTATAAGTACAGTCAGGGAATACAAGAGGGAGTAGATACTTCTGTATAAGTACAGTCAGGGAATACAAGAGGGAGTAGATACTTCTGTATAAGTACAGTCAGGGAATACACGAGGTAGTAGATACTTATGTATAAGTACAGTCAGGGAATACAAGAGGTAGTAGATACTTCTCTATAAGTACACTCAGGGAATACACGAGGGAGTGGATACTTCTGTATAAGTACAGTCAGGGAATACAAGAGGGAGTAGACACTTCTCTATAAGTACAGTCAGGGAATACACGAGGGAGTAGGCACTCTGTTGTCATACACTATGGAGAGTCGCGATGTTCTGTGCGCTGCCTCAAGGTCATAAATCCTGGGAAGTTAAGACACAGTTGCATGAGGAACGTGGACGTTGTGTTGACTGGAAAATAGCTGTTGCATGTGTTCTGTTGGGCTGTAAACTTTCACTTTGCACTGAAGTATGAGCAATCATTTAGACAACTGAGTGTGTCTTTGTTCGAAATGGTAGATATTGAGTCATTGTATAGACATTAGTACATTAGAATTAGATGTGTTAGCTCTATAGACACCTAAACAGATACTTTATTATACATAGAGGATACCAGTCTCTTCTTATTATGTGTCTCTAGTAGGTGTCGATAGCTGATTATGTAGTGTGAAAAAGTCTACTCTGTAGATCATGAGATGACAGAAACATATAAACAAGAATAAGACAACTGTTTATTATATGTTTTTGTGCATGATTTTCACAATCTTACACTGAAACCAAAGTGTCTCTGAGTTAGACTGTCAGCATAAAGTGTTAATTCACTCGATTTGGAGATACGCATAGAATTTAAATTATTATATCGCATCATAAATTTATGTATAGTTATCATATTAAATGTTATGATGTCAAATGTATCATCAAAGAACAAAAGATGAACCTTTTCTTTCTAATAATTGTAATGTGATTTAGTTTAAAACAAGACATGTTTTTGTGAATTCATTTACTAGTAGCAACAGAGGTGAACATTCGTATAAAACAGATTTTATATATTATTCTGTAGAGGAAAAGTACTTTTAGGTTTGCATCTGTTTTGTAGGGAGACACCTCCAAGTTTAGATAGAACAATAGACATATAGAACAGTAGACATATAGAACAATAGACATATAGAACAATAGACATATCGAGGGGTTAGTGCCAGAACACATTATCTTGTAAAATATTAAAATTGACTTTATGACTTTCAAAACATTGTATGACCATATATAATCCTACGCCAAAATATCTATGTACTACATTGTATATTTTAAAAGATATTCAACAAGACATAAACAACTTATCACCTAACTCTGTTCTCGTGTTGCGCCAGGATGTTCTATACTAAAATACTACATGCTGGTATACACAACATTAAAGTTTTCACTCAATTCTATTAAGCCAGAAAAACGTATCGAGAATTAACACATTCTAGCACTCTGATATAGGCTTAAGACTCCTTTAATTGGAGAGCCGTAACAACTGATAAGCATTTGAGATGTGCTGGCTTTTTGTGTTTACGATTAGAGATAAGCGCTCCCCCGCACCAGATGATGTTAACTGGTGCTAGCCTTCTATGGCCCAGGATGTTTATATCTGATTCCCGGGCTAAATTCCAGTCAGCTTATACTAATGGTCATTACTTGGTCCTGGCGTCGAAGATAAACCCCACTACACAAACGTCTTACAACGGAAATATCATAGTCCAAATTATTTTCATCAACATAAATACGTTTAAGGTAAGTAAAACTGTAAATTGAATTAAATTATCTGTTATTTTACTAATTTTTTAAAATTGATCTCTTATATTGTTATAAAGTTACGACGCAACAACACGTCTGATGATTTATATAACGGATTTTTATGTTTAAGTCATTATCAAATCAGTGTTCGTTAACTTTTAGTGTGTTCTTGGTTGTTTTCAGATAATCGCAGGGATTTTTTGTTAATTTTGCTATAAAATAGTATGTAAATGACATGGGTGAGACTTGTGGTTTTAACATAAACATCTTTCATAAACACAAGTAAAGTTTACATAAGAGTAAATATATGATACATGAAGTTAGATTGTAAATTGAGAAATAATGTCACATACACAAATATTTCAAGACCAGTGCTATGTATTGTTTTCTTTTGTTTTTTGTTTTCTTTCTATAGGCATTGGAAAATGAGTGAGTTTGATTCTGACTTCGAAGATCAAGACATTTTGGAAGCTTGCAATATTATCGAGAACAATCAGATATTACACCTTATTGTGCCACAACCACCCACCAACATGGAACCGAATCCGCTACCAACCACTGACAACCCAGTTCCATTGACGGCAACCAACATGGAACTGAATCCGCTACCAACCACTGACAACCAAATTCCATTGACGGCAACCAACATGGATGCTACTCAGCTACCAACCACTGACAACCCAGTTCCATTGACGGCAACCAACATGGATGCTAATCAGCTACCAACCACTGACAACCCAGTTCCATTGACGGCAACCAACATGGAACCGAATCCGCTACCAATCAGTGACAACGCAGATCCATTGACGGCAACCAACATGGATGCTAATCAGCTACCAACCACTGACAACCCAGTTCCATTGACGGCAACCAACATGGAACCGAATCCGCTACCAACCAGTGACAACGCAGAACCATTGACGGCAACCAACATGGATGCTAATCAGCTACCAACCACTGACAACGCAGATCCATTGCCGGCAACCAACATGGAACCGAATCCGCTACCAACCACTGACAACCCAGATCCATTGACGGCAACGAGCATGGATGCTAATCAGCTACCAACAACTGACAACACAGATCCATTGACGGCAACGAGCATGGAACCAAATCCGCAACCAACCACTGACAACCCAGATCCATTGGCGGCAACCAACATGGAAGCTAATCAGTTACCAACCACTGACAACCCAGATCCATTGGCGGCAACCAGCATGGAAGCGAATCAATTACCAACCACTGACAACCCAGATCCATTGGCGGCAACCAGCATGGAAGCTAATCAATTACCAACCACTGACAACCCAGATCCATTGACGGCAACCAACATGGAAACTGATCAGCTACCAACCACTGACGGCGCAGATCCATTGACGGCAACCAACATGGATGCTAATCAGGTACAAACTACTGACAACACAGATCCTTTGTCGGCAACGCATATGAAAGCCCCTCAAGACTACATAGAGCCACGTCCCAGTAATACCAGTGAGGGAGGAAATGAAAATGAATTTGACAGCTCTGATGACGAACCTTTAATTTATTTGGGGAAATATAGACATACACATGTTGAAAGTAGCATCGAAACATCATCAGAAGAGTACCTTCCGAATGAAGAAGATTTATGCTCGTCTGACACCACTGAATCGGAAACAGAATTGACAATACCAAATCAGAAGAATATTGTTCATAGCAAATTTCATGAAAGGTCAAGTGGGGAATTGGAGGAAACTGTTGTTCTGAAGACATTACATGAAAGTCATACCAACTACATGTATGAATCTAAAATGAAAAAGTTTCACACGGAGAGATTAGAACAACTTCTGCATTGTAATGGATACAAGTTACTGAAGGTACCGGCTGATGGAAATTGCTTTTTTAAGGCTTCTGCACTTCAACTTAATGTGAGTGAATGTGAACTGAGGAAACAACTGTGTGATCATCTTGATGATAATATCATCACTTATTCCGATTTCTATGCTGAAGTGGAGGAAAACAACCTGGAAACATGGCAAAGTTATTCACTGGAAGTGGAACATCTTCGCAGGAATGGATATTTCACCAATAAGGTTGCTGATTTCCTGCCATTAGCACTTGCTAACTGGTCAGGTCGTGGTGTCCGTATTTTCTCCAGCAAGGCATCAACTCCCGTAATTGATGTCCAACCTACAATTCGTCAACAATGCACTGAGAGAAGAATAATCCTCGCATTTACATCCATAAAAGGTATTGAAGATCATTATGATGCATGCACACCACTGGCTAACCATTTGTCAAACACAATGATAGAAAATAACATCACAAAATCTTCTCAGTACTCAAGTACTCAACATGAAACAACAGAAGCATGTGCTTCTGGAGCTACCTGTCCTGGAACGTCCACATCAGCTGCAAGTTGTCTCCAGTCCATCAGCATCTCTGATGTTTCTTGTACTGCTGTAAATGAACGCAACCATGTAATGCCAGAAGACCCTGTGATCAGTTCAAATACTTCAAGTCCAGTTCCAGTATCTTCACAGCATGGTGCCGACACAGTGTCATCAGGTAATACAGCATCAACCCCAAACAAACAGAACCCATCTCGATCTGCAACTCCAAGAAAGTCGTCAGCCTTCCATACACCTCCTAGAAAGGTGCTGTTTAGAAAGAGACGTGCGACGCCCGAGACATGGTTAAAAAATCAAAGGAAACACCTGAGATTAGGTGGAATGGAATATGTGAACCAGCAAGGGAAGACCATGAAAGGAAAATCGGTTAAAGCAGTCGACTGCTCAAAATGTAGATATAAGTGCACCCAGAAGATCCCCGAAGAAGCTCGACACAGTATATTTAAAGCATTTAGAAGCTTGTCATCATATGAAAGGCAAAAGGATTTTGTTTGTTCCAACACTGATGAAAAGAAAACCCGTACATACCTGGATGACAGTGAAAGAAAGGTGGAAAAGAAACGCCAAGTCTATCGGGCATTTAATCTACAGTGGGAAGGAACAAGACATCTTGTTTGCAAGAAGTTTTTCATGAAGACTCTTGACATTGGGGAGTCATACATCAGCCATGCCTTACAGCACAAGAGCCAGGGAACCTTTGGGAGCACAGAACGTCGCGGTAGACATAAGCCACACAATAAAACTGCCAGTGATCGCTTGACAAAAGTAAGGGAACACATTGAGTCATTTCCTAAGATGGATGCCCACTACACAAGAAAAGATACAAACAGGCAATTTTTAGGACCAGAATTGAATATTAAAAAGATGTATGAACTTTATAAGGAAAGGTGTGCTGCAGACAACAAAGAACCAGTGTCCTCATCACTCTACAGAAACGTCTTCAATAAAGAATATAATTTTTCTTTCCATGTACCAAAGAAGGACCAGTGTTCGCTTTGTCAGCAATATTACAGAGAAAGAGACACTGGTTGCCTGACAGAACAATTAACAAAGGATTTCAATGAACACCAAGCCAGAAAAATCAGAGCTCGAGAGGCAAAGATTAAGGACAAAGCACTTGCCTTGACAGAATCCTCTGTCTTTGTTGGAACATTTGACCTTGAGGCAGTATTGTACACGCCATGTTCGCTAGTTAGCGAAATTTTCTATATGAGAAAACTGAATTGTTATAATTTCACAGTGCATGATGCTGTTCACAAGAGCGGTACATGTTTTCTGTGGTCAGAGGTTGATGCCCAGAGAGGTTCATGCGAAATTGCATCATGTTTACAAATACAGTTGAAAGCAATGCCTCCTAACATCAACCATGTTATCCTGTATTCAGATACATGCACAGGGCAGAATAGGAACCAATATGTTGCTGCTTCCCTACTTCATGCTGTCACTACCACTGACCACATTGATGTCATTGACCATAAATTCTTGGAGCCAGGACACACCCAAATGGAGTGCGATGCAATTCACTCCAGTATTGAATTCGCCAAAAAGAAGACAAGTATTTTTGTTCCCAGCCAGTGGGATACTGTTATCAGAATGGCAAGAAGGAAGGACCCCTATCTCGTTATTCCAATCAAACACACGGATGTAATGGACTTCAAGAAATTGGCACATCAAAGACTGAAAAATACTAAAGTGGACACGGATGGTGGTAGAGTTAACTGGCTAAATGTTCGCTGGCTGCGGTTTATGAAGACTAGCCCTGACAGCATTTACTTCAAAACTGAACACAATGATGAGCAGTTCAGAGAAATCAAGGTTACAGCAGGCAGTAGACGAGGTAGACCTCTGAACACAACCAACTCCCTTACTTGTAGATACACTGGGAAGCAAGAAATATCACATGCGAAGAAGAAAGACTTGTTATCTCTTTGTAGATCTGGTATTATTCCAAGCGAATATCATGAGTACTACAAAGCTCTCCCAACTGGTAACAGACCTGATTGTCTACCGGTACCAGATGCTATGGAGGAAGACTATGACACAGACATTGCATAATATGATGTGTGACTGTGGTGCTGTGTTCATTATCGCACTAATATAGCTATGTGTGCGTACGCGCGTACGCGCGTGCGTAAGTGCGTGTGATTGCACTAGTCCGGACTAATGCCAATATTATTGTGCCAGCCCGCTGAGATACTATGCCGCAGTTAAACATGAATACCCGACTCAGATTTGTGGAAGTCTGACAGTGCTGAAATGCTGATCCTGGCTATATTATATCTGACAAGTTCCTGCATTACTTCCTTATTTATTTCCTTTTTAGTGAGCCACAACAATCGCGTGAATGTTCAAGCTAAGAATTCCATTTACTGTTAGGAACGTAAAATGATTGTAACCACATTAAAATGTCTTATGACAGCTAGGTTGGATATCCGAATACAATCTGAGATAACTGATCTTAAGAACTGCAGTATTTGTATGTTCATAAATTGACTTTGAATGAAGCTCAGCTGGAAAAAGTATTATATTTTTTGTGAATACTGCGAGTTATGTCACCATTTTGAAAATTGAACGTTGGGTACAGATCTGTCTATCTATTTATCTATCACTTTTTACATATTATATACTGGTTTATAGATAATAAGCTAAATATGTACCCACTGTTTTATAAAAGAATATATATTTACATAAACAAAGGTTTTAAAAGGATCTTCTATTCATCTATAATTTATAGAATAACGTTTCTCCGTTAACTTTGTGTGACACATTTCCACTCATTAGCATTACAGCCTAACATTAACTTAATTTTGCAGACTAATTAGCTTTTTAGTTTTGAAACAAACAATGCAATATAAATGTAAATGTACAGCATTTAATAAAATGAACAATGTTTGGTAAAGGCAACACTGACATTACTTTAGTTCTTTTAGGCAATGCCAGATAATCGTTAAAGCTGGTAAGTGATTATAACCACGTGTTTGTAGCAAGCGATGCTTTAGAGTGTCAGCTTACACCAGGATAATGGTATCAGCCTGTGTGTCACGCAGACTCTGTGGTTGAGCCGTTACCAGCTGTCGGGAGATAAGCTGTTATTGCTATTAATTGGCTTGCTCATTGAGAAAGTTTCTGAAGCATAAACGTATGTCCTGTGTTTGGGGTAATTTGACGCAAGCAGGAATGTTATCATTTATCAGGGCCACAATGTATCACTTCTGTTTACAAGGATCTGGGCCTCACATTTCCCCTTTCCTGTATAATGTTTATGCTGCCAGATGGAGTTGCCTTTATTTACTTCGCTTTGGCTGAAAGTCTAGCTGAATTTCTTTGGGGAAGAGATATGCCAGAACATCGTATATATTTCAGGTTATCTTTATTACATGTTAATATCAATGTTATGTTGAAAAAACAAGATATACTGTTTGGCACACTTAATGACAATGGCTGGAAACAATATTGCTAATAAAACTTCAAGTGGTGCTTTTTAGCACCATTTCAAACTTTTGAAGTGGGATTTCTCACATCTAGGGAAAATGGAGATAAGTGGTTCTGGCACTAACCCCTCGTTATAGAACAGTAGACATATAGAACAATAGACATAGAACAATAGACATATAGGACAATAGACATATAGAGCAGTAGACATATAGAACAGTAGACATATAGAACAGTAGACATATAGAACAATAGACATATAGAACAGTGTAGACATATAGAACAGTAGACATATAGAACAGTAGACATATAGAACAGTAGACATATAGAGACATATAGAACAGTAGACATATAGAACAGTAGACATATAGAACAATAGACATATAGAACAATAGACATATAGAACAATAGACATATAGAACAGTAGACATATAGAACAATAGACATATAGAACAATAGACATATAGAACACACTGGGCTCCAGGGCAATATCAACTTTCAGACTTCCAGCCCTCCCTGTGACAGGTGCAGGTGTGCCGACACAAGGGATCCGTGTTGTACGAACCACTAACGCAAGAAGCACTGTCAACATGTTGTTTATTACCCCAGTAACTGGGTGTTAAAACTTCTTGGCCTCTCGTAATCCCTGATTTTGCACTACTCCTGAAATGACGACTTGTAACCTACCCCCAACATCACGCCCTTGTTTCGTCACACCCCACCAAAAGCTTCATTGATAACATGCTCGGTTCTCAGGCACAGGCTCTTAACAAACAAAAGTTTCATATTTCATTCCATGTTAGATGATAATAAATAAATTATTTTGCTAAGAGTTTCTTTTTTACTATGCACTTTTACAAAGTCTTTGCCAGAGAACCAATGTAGTCTATCTGAAGTATTGTGTTGAATGTGGTTGAACTCTGCTTGGTGAATAACCTTCTTTCTCTATTCTTGTGTCTCTTCTTTGCATGGTGTAGGGGGCTGGGCATGAAGCAAGGGGCCATTCCTAACTTTAGACCTGCGCATGTAAGTTGCCAGTTTCATCATCATCCCTTGTCTGACATGTAGGCAGTCACAGGCCAGAGTGCCTGACTGTCAGCTTCCTCATTGTCTTGAAGTTAATAACTAATTACAATAGAGTGACCTCCCTTGATTGTGTGCCATTGCATCGCTTGCTGCCGGCCACTATCACCACCAGCATGCTTGATGCAGGGCTGCAGGCAATGTACAGCCTCAACTGCCCACTCCTCCACTCACCCACTCACCCACTCACCCACTCACCATCACAGGTGATTGTCAGGATCTCACCACCTCATGGTAGTATGTCTGACGAAGGTATTAATGCTGTCATCTGTTTAGCGACATCGAGACATGGTAGGTGTTTGCGTTGAGTGTTGCAATGAGAAGAAATGCATCAACACACTACTAAGTTTATCTTCAATTTTGCAATGACCAATATGAATATTTGATGCAGCATGGTTGCATGTTGATGTAGCATCCAGTTGTAAGTTGGAGAAATGTTCTAACTGTATAACTTGTAAACATTTCTGCTACATTTCTCATTTAGGTGACACTGATGTCTTTGACATTTTGAACACTGAATGTTTGTGTAATTTTATATTAAGAATGAGGGTTAAGAAATATATTTTATATTGTCGTCACTACTTGTTAAAACCCTGTGGATTGTTGCTCATAATATCAATCACTGGTTTGTCTGGTCCAGACTCGATTATTTACAGGCAGACATCATACAGCTACAGAATTGCTGAGTGCAGCATTAATCAACAAACAAGCACATCAATGTAAACACAAATACCAGGACATTTCCGTTGAGAGAGCTTGCCCTTAGACTGTGTGTGTTTGGTACTCTTGTGTTCTGACATAGTTGAAAGTCACCTTCTTGTCATGGATTGCAGTGGCACTGTTTAATATGACCATGTCTATATTGTACATCTTGCACTGACCCTAACAACCACCACTCAACTCTGTAAGCACAGCAGCAGTGCATTTTTGCTTTATTCATCACCCAGACCATGTACTCCATATTTTTGTGGTCTCTCATGTGAAATAATATAGTATGTCAATGCCAATTAACAGACTTTCAAAACAATTTCAGCTTAAATGTTACCTGAAGAGTAAGTATTTCAATGTACAGTAAACTATGTTTAAAACAAACATGCTTATAACGAACTGATGGATATAGTGAACTGTTTTTGGTCCCGGACATTTACTGTGTACATGCTCATAACAAACTACGGTTATAACGAACTAAAATTAGTGGTTCCCTTGAGTTCATTATAACCGTAGTTTACTGTACCAGTTTGAAAAGACTGATCGTGAGGTTTGATCTTTTGGCTGGTATTGAAACCAAAAGTAAAAGTTTGAGTTTGTTTTGTTTTCCAGCTCCCAGCACCACCACCACCATCCTCACCATCATCTTCTTCATCACGGAGGCCTGAATGGACATCTCCTAGCAAATAGCCCCATATCTGAGTCTCCCACGGGATCTGTGTCGGAGCAAATCAACTCACTAACTCGATCATTTGAAGACCGGGCCTACACATCGAAAATCCCCCACTCGCAGTCGTATCACAATTCTCTCTCCGACTCGGACTCCAACATCAGTGGCATGACTCAGAGTTTGTCCACATCTGCATTAAAGAAGATGGCTGTGAATGGCGATGACTCATCCCGCGAGTCGTCAGAAGACAAGGACATTGTTAGTGCGGACAGTGATAAAAAGAAGAGGAAAAAGACATCCTTCTTCAAGATGTTGCGGAAAGGCGGAAATAAAACGAAAGCGTCTTAGCAGATGTTCTCTTTATTTATTGTCCTCGGTACTTTCTTCCTGGCTAGCTTACTTTCATTCTCAATGTATCCGATTTCTTTTGTTTGATGTTGTTTCTTATGACTTACATTGAATGAAACGTATTGCAAAATCAAAATCCATGCTGTACTGCATTTGTTTAGAGCCATATTTTCAGTGGTATGCATTTCTTGTTTCTTGATTGTGTCCTCGGAGGCTGGTTATGTTGAGCTGGACCAATGGTACAATCTTGGTTTGACCTTGATTTCTTGTATCTCCTGCTGAACTGATTTGATCGGCAGCAGTCGATCACATGTGTTGATGATCATTCTTAATTGTATTTGTCAATAGGGCGAATGATATTTTGCTCTCTACCTGCAATGGAACAGTCTACTTTAGACAGAAGTGACAAGTTCGAGACCCGACACTCCCAGACTTGTACATAGAAGTTACATAATGACACAAGGTGTTTGTGAAACGGAGCACTTTGCACACGGAAGTGGGTACGGATGAGAAAGTGTTTGGAGGTATTGTGCATTCTTGTGAAGCTATTGTAATATGACTATGAGTGTATGTGCACACATATTCTGGCAGAACTATAGGTGTACGACCTTAAGCTGTGGACCTCTGGATGTAAGGTAAACATTCCATCAAGGAATCATGACTCCTCGAATTTCTTGTGAATGCTGTAATAAAAAATGGCTTTGAAAAAGATAGGAAAGTTTTGTAACATATTTTGTAATTTTTAAACATTTTTTACAAAACTTGAATGTTGCTATTTTCACTTCCCAGATTTATTAAGGAATGTTTTGGATATAGCATAAATCCTTGGAATTGAAAGAGATATTTGAAATATATGAGGCAAATTAAGCATGCGGCAGTTGCTGCAGTTTTGTTCTAATCAGTGTACTGGACATCTCCATGTAGCGCATACAAGTTGTAAGATAAAGGGCATTGGTTGGTTACAACTCCATGTGTGCTGTTGAATAACTGGGAGTAGGAATCAGAAAGGTTGCCTGACCTATTTCAGCCTGAGTGTTTTGTGATATATTCTATTGATCAAAGTCCCATATTGTGTGATATCAGCTTTGCCTTGTCTTTCATCCATGAATGTCACTAACAGTAGTCAACAGTAGTTGTTTAGTACACAGCAGACGAAGACAGTAATGCAGGGGAATGAGGAGTAATGTAGAGTAATGTAGCTTTAATATGGAATAAAACACAAAGTGTGATTTAATTTTGTCCAAAAATAGTTGAAATGTGTTTACATTTGATTTGAAGTCGCCACTGGTATATTCATGTTTAAAAGGTTTCCAGTGTGTTTCTAGTGTGTTTCTAGAGATGGCTGAAAGTTTCCTGGACATCAGTTAATGTGATAAATATGACGTGACATCTTCCCGAGGCAAGTGAGTTAACTGACTTTAAAAGTCCAGTTACCACCCTTGCCGAACTAGGCTGGTATTATGGAGTTACGTTTTGGCTGGGCTAACGAGTCTATGCATAGTCCAATCAAAATTGCGCACCGAAATCGAAATCCGGTTTGTAATATGTCGTGCACACTTCTGTCGATTGCAGGATTTGCAAAGCATGTGCACCGCCAACTCGTTGTTTACAGATATTTTCCAAGTCTTTTCATGTTTTTAATCAAGGTGCTCACGTGATTTGATGCACTTTGCTATGTAAGACCTGTTTTATCACAATATAGATCTTGATTATCAATCAGATCGTTTTGACAAATGCAAGTGATACGAGAGGTGGAATCTGATTGGTCCATAGGAGAGGCTTAGAAGGAACATAACTCGTAATAACCACTGGTGGCGCTACAGTCGAGCCCAGGAATTCCAGCCTAGTTCGGCAAGGGTGGAAACTGGACTTTTATAGTCAGTTAACTCCCTTGCCTTGGGAAGATGATGACGTGACAGCTGTGTGACAACTAACTCATTCAGCATCAACTCCCTACATCTGAAGTACCCGATCTATGTGTTTATCACCGGTCTTAGGGAGTTAAAATCAGGTGCTCGGTAGCTGATGTTTTGTTATATCACTGTAAGGACAATGCTATTTGTTCACTGTAAGGATAATGCTATTTGTTCACTGTAAGGATAATGCAATTTGTTCACTGTAAGGACAATGCTATTTGTTCACTGTAAGGACAATGCCAATTGTTCACTGTAAGGACAATGCTAATTGTTCACTGTAAGGATAATGCTATTTGTTCACTGTAAGGATAATGCTATTTGTTCACTGTAAGGACAATGCTATTTGTTCACTGTAAGGACAATGCTAATTGTTCACTGTAAGGACAATGCTATTTGTTCACTGTAAGGACAATGCTATTTGTTCACTGTAAGGACTGCCATTTGTTCACTGTAAGGATAATGCAATTTGTTCACTGTAAGGACAATGGTTTTTGTTCACTGTAAGGACAATGCTATTTGGTCACTGTAAGGACTGCCATTTGTTCACTGTAAGGACAATGGTTTTTGTTCACTGTAAGGACAATGGTTTTTGTTCACTGTAAGGACAATGCTATTTGTTCACTGTAGGGATAATGCTATTTGTTCACTGTTAGGACAATGCTATTTGTTCACTGTAAGGATAATGCTATTTTTTTTATACATAATTTTAAATGAATAATGTAATGCCAAAATATCTGTTTTAAATGAGAGATAACAGCGCAAGAAAGATAAGGAAGTAAACGTTAGTATTTGTATCATAATGAGAAAGTATGTGTATCATAATGAGAAACATTCAATGCAATGATACCATGAGAGTCAACTGATGAATGGGGAATGCTGCCTGGCCACCAAATAAATGCAAAATGCTCATCGTCCACACCCCAAAGTAATCCGATGCTTCAATAAACATGTGCTACCTTGCAGTGGTATGAGGACCACAAACACAGTACTGTCAAGGGTGTATGTGCTTCCAGTTTTGTGATAGGTGTGGTGCAACGAGAAGAGTACCGTGCTAATGATGGTGTATATGTGTGTCAGAATTGATATAATTGAGAAGAATGATGCCAAATGTTTGTCTGCTTGATAGTTGTCAAACGTTGGTACACTAGAAATGGATTAAGTTAATGATGCCTGTTGAAATTTGCCTTTATGATGATATGTTTCAAGAAATATTTGTCTGCATTTTCACCTTCACTTGCCCAACAACCTCCACCTCCCCATAGTTAACTGTTTAACTGCTTGATTGGCATTCATTTTCTTATACCCCATAGCAACAACCATCTCCCCAGGAACTACCCCCCCCCCATAGCAACAACCATTTCCCCAGGAACTACCTCCCCCATAGCAACAATCTTCTCCCCAGGAACTACCTCCCCCATAGCAACAATCTTCTCTCTAACAAACCCCCCCCCATAGCAACAACCTCTCGACTCACATGGCAACTGCTTTCAACCTTTCAGAACCAAACCTTCATCATAAAATGCTAGTTGTGGTGAAGTGTGGTGTCTTTAACTGGCGTTTACAAATGTAAGACACCAGTTGCTGTGAGAACAAGATACAGGCTCCGATGAAGTGTGGTGTCTTTAACTGACATTTACAAATGTAAGACACCAGTTGCTGTGACAACAAGATACAGGCTCCGATGAAGTGTGGTGTCTTTAACTGACATTTACAAATGTAAGACACCAGTTGCTGTGAGAACAAGATACAGGCTCCGATGAAGTGTGGTGTCTTTAACTGACATTTACATATGTAGGACTCCAGTTGCTGTGAGAACAAGATACAGGCTCCGATGAAATGTGGTGTCTTTAACTGACATTTACATATGTAGGACTCCAGTTGCTGTGAGAACAAGATACAGGCTCCGATGAAGTGTGGTGTCTTTAACTGACATTTACATATGTAGGACTCCAGTTGTTGTGAGAACAAGATACAGGATACATTATAGATGTCGCTGCTATGAACTTGCATCCCAATGCTTTGCTGACCATTGTGACATCATTGGTTACACTGCTTATTACTGTCTACAAACTGAAAAAGTTTGAAGGATGATGTTGGATGATAAATAAAATCTCACCCTTGTGTCTTTTGATATCAAATATATAAATAAAAATGGATAAAACTCTTGAGGATTGCCAAGGAGTTTTCCACATTTATCAATAGTCCAAAGACACTCGGGTGAGATTCTATATTGATTATACATGCCTGGTTGTATCCTATTAGTTTGCAGAGTGTTGTTGTTATGTGTACATTGTATTCAACTGTTGTACATACAGCAGTGTACATACCCATGCTTCAAACACGATTGCTCTTACTACAATCAGACAACTTACCAGTGAGTGGGGTCAGGCGTCTGTCATGTGCTTGTCGAAGTAGGCACTACTGTCTGGTTCCTCCTCAGTAATTGTGTCACATGGATGCAAATAGTTACCAAGATCGTCCAGGAGAGGTTTCCAAGAAATCTTGGCAGCTTTCAATATGAACGTGATAGGGCAAATATAGAGTGGGTGTATTGTCATGTTTATTTTTGTCAAATGTGCATTTATATGTGCTAGGTTTACATATAATGACTTTCTTTGTAAGGTACTTTGTAAGTGTATATATGTTGTATGACTGGGGACACAGTCGGTGATATTGTATGCATGAATGTGTCTACAGCCCCATATCAAACAGTACAACTCTGTGTAACGGCCCACATCAGTGTCAGCCATGTATGTTGATTCTGGCCATAACGGATTCCTCTTAATTATGCTATTGATTGTTCTTGTCATTCCTTTTATCAATTTATCGACATAATTGTTGTTTTTTGTCATTTTAATATGGACAGCCTCATGGGTAATGCTGTTTGCTAGATATATGTGTTGGTTAAATATGTTGTGAACATATCTGGTGTCTGAGAATAATTCACAAAGTTAATGTCTACCTGCCTCACTGTCTCTGAGGATGGTTTTCAAGGACATGAGACCAATGGGGCGTTTAGCCCTGCCACTTGCAGTGTTGCCGTTTGTGGTTGCTTTTGGAAGAAACTGTAAGGGTGATCTTCCATGTTCCCTCGTCAGAGTCAATACAGACCAAGGTTAGTTAAGATCAAAGTCCAGATATTGCACCGCTGTGCATCCATGGAACAAGGTGATGACCTATTTCTAATGAATGTCAGTTTTCAAAAACAATATCTTTGTGTCAAAGTGGGATCACAGCCATACAGATTTGTCCTGTCTGGATTCTAGTGTCGTCTGTTTGTGTAAGATATACCATTACTGCTTTCTGTCTGTTTGCTTTTAATTATGTATTGATCTTGTCTGTGCAATAGAGTTTTGGATATGAGATTGTTCTTCATTTTCCAAAGTTTTATGAGAATCCAGTTCTGGTTCTTTCTGTTAATTGTCAGCCGAACCCTCATTCCTTCAGACACATTCCGGAATCATGAAGATCCGAATATTTTTGGTTTTGACTAAATTCACATGTTAAAGGCAATATTCATTTGCCTTCTCTCAACAAATGGAACCTTGAAGCATCCTGTTTCGATTCAATTAATGGCCATTCCAAAGAAATTAATGCCATTACACATCTTAGTTACATTTCAGTGTCACTTGAGAAATACATTCTGTATTTTCTTTTTTCAGTAGACAGCAACTCTATGTTGTAGGCTTCCAGTAGAACTATATGAATATGTTCTGTCAAAATCTGCATTCCACCATTATTGGAACTTTGTAAGATGTGTTCGATTTTAGTTTGTTTGTTTGTTTGTTTGTTGTTTAACGCCGCACTCAGCAATATTCCAGCTATATGACGGCAGTCTGTAAATAATCGAGTCTGGACCAGACAGTCCAGTAATTCACATCATGAGCATTGATCCACGCAAAAGGGATAGGATGACATGCATCAACCAAGTCAGCGAACCTGACCGCCCGATCCCCTTAGTCTCCGCTTATGACAAGCATAGTCGTCTCTTACGGCAAGCATTGGTGGCTGAAGACATATTCTTGCTTACAAGATAGAGGCATAGGAATTTGGGTGACAAGGTTCCACTTTATTGGGCATGTGTTAACTAAGACCAGAAGTGACACAGAAAATTATCATAGTTTTGTTATTAAGACAGCTAATGGCATAGAATTTTCAGTTTCAAAATTTCAATTCTACCCCGGATCTTCACCGAGTATATCGTGGCAGTGCATTTCAATATTCAACCACCTCTCCAAGTGTATTTTCAACTTAGGGATTTAATAAAACGACATTATTTTATGTCACAATCCACAGAAATGTCTCATAAGATGGAACAGTTGTTCTTTGAAATTTTTGTTTGGAACAAATGAAAGAATGAGAAAATATTCAGGCATGTCATTAAATAGCATACTCATTCTTGTGACATGAAGTATCCATTGAACGGAAGCTTCACACAGGATTCACACAACGGGAGTTCCTAATAGGACTGTTGTAAATGTTGAATGATGGAAATGACTTAACCTAGAAACTATTCTCTACTTAATGGAACCACGTCTCATGATGATAGATAATATCACTTCCATCTCCCTATCCTGTGCTGTTGGAATTC